TTTTCTCTGCCGGCAAGGCGCATCAGGTTCATCAGGAATATCACCAAGCCAGGGCAAGCGCTTGTCTATTTGGGAATCTCCATCCTCAGGCATTTGTTGCTTGGCGAAAAAAAAAGCGGTCCCTGGTTAGCGAGGTCAGCTGGCCGATGTCTGTGACTCTTAGCTTGGGTCACTTGCCAACATGATCGTTTGATCAAGCAATAACAACACTTGCTAGCCAAGATTCCCATGCCTCGTTCACAATAGCAAGAAAGAGTCGCTGGCAGTCCAGGCTGTTCCAGCTCACAGACTCAGGCGGCCCAGGACACACGACAATGGTCACAGCCCCAAAGCGCCTTTGATTCTTTGGAGTTTTAGACTGGATGAGTATCTCCGGCAGTCGGCCATTATTTCTTGTGAACCCCAAGACTAGTGGTTTGTCAAAATCCAAACAGCCATATTGTTTGCCAAGTTGCCTCTTGAAGAGCAGCCACTTCAGATTGGTCAGTTTGCTCGGGCCCTGGTAGTGTGTCCTTAGACGCTGCGTCCGGGGGTGAGTGGAGAAGAAAAGGCAGCGCAGCAAAACAGATGCGGCTGAGAAGCTTGCAGGAACGATCTCTGCCTATTCAACATGATTCCCAACCCCGGTCAACAAAATGTTGAGCCGAAAGGCTCAAGCCCCAAAGCTTCTGGTAATGCTAAGCATGATCACGCGAACTCATGCCAGTGCGCTGTCGCAAGAGCGACTAATCTGCTCACACTGCTTGGAACACGTTATTTGCCCGGCTCCGGCAAAATACAGCCGCAGTTTGCAGCCACAGGTATGCACAGGCTCAAGTCTCAAAGCTGCTGGCAATGCTAAGTAAGTCTGATCAAATGATACTGGTGATGGTCAGATGCTATGAGTCTACGCTGCTTGGCAGCCAGCCTTCAATTGCCCACAATCGCACGGAAGTGCATTGCAGGGAAAAGCTTGCGAAGCGCAGATGGGGCAGCCATATCGATGTGAGGGTTTTCCTCCCGCGATGCAAACCAGGGAAGTGCTGGCAAATCGTTCACATTAGTGGACAGAGGCTCAGTTGCCAGTGACAGCAAGTAGTTGACAGTTCGTCTGGAACTTTGTTGGCACACGACTGCTCAGCTCTTCAGCCAAGTCAAGCCATTTCTGCCTTCGATCCAAAGGCAACATTGGTACTGGCCGCACTTCAGCCGGAAACTCACCTGCCAAACGCCGGACATATGTGTACGGAAGGGCCAGCTGTGGCGCCTCCAGGGCAAGAAAATGCAAAACAGGACCAATCAGATCTGCTACTATTTGTGATGATTGTGATGGCAGAAGGCCTGTGCCAGTTCGAGGTCGCTTTCGTACCTTTTGACCATGACGATTACGTCTTCTGGGTGTGGAGCTACTCTTTGAGCTCCGGGGCCGTCTGATTTGATGATGAGGTTCCGCGGGACATCTGGCCAGCAGCGCGCGGTGTGTGTCAAAACCACATGGCAACAAGCAGGGAGCACCCTTGCGCTTTAAGAAATGGAACGCGTGCATCCCAGAAGAGTCGTCTCGCAGCCCTCCAGCAAACCTCACACGGAGAGACCGAAGCCTAAGTGACAGCACGCGCTGGGAAGGAGCGCTGGCTGCAACAAGAGTGATTCATTGCAAATGCAACTGCGGTCAAGAAACCAGCCTTTCCAGTCGCGTGCCACTGACACGTATTCAACTTTGGTCGTAGCCTTGTGGCCTATGAATGCGGCCAGTTCGAGGTGATTGAGAATGGACCGGAGTTTCCTGGGCGCATCACAGGGTGTTGCGGAAAAGGAATGGAATGACTGCACCTGCGGGCAGAGAGCGCTGCGGCATCCTCTGGGTCGGCGAGGATGTCCACATACTTCATCGCCGCAGCCAGCAGGCCGTAGATCTGATCTGCGCGAGACCGAAACTACCAGGATGGTGTTCAATGCAGACAATGCAAACATACTGGGCTGAATTGTAACTGCACCTCAACCCAAGACTAGGGCCTAGCGGGCCATGCGTATGTCCAACTCTGGCGTGGATCAGGCTTGTGCACCGGAATTTGTGTTTAGCAGCGCACACCGAGAGGAAGCCCAAGACCACATTGTTTTTGTTCTCCTTCGTCGTATTATCAGCCTTACGTTGGCTAGCAGACTCGTGCAGGATTTGGCGCTGCAACCAAAACAACACTCAAAGAAGTCTAGATGATGCCACGCCACAGTGACTATGAGAGACTGCGGTCTCTTGCCTGCTTGTGCGAGGCGCTGCATCGCATCATCAATCGCCCTGGTTCCAATCTCCAGCACCATGCTTGGATCGCATGATTGCCGAGGATCAACCAGGCCGAAGTAAATGCCCACATTGTGTATCCAAACGCCCTGGCATTTAAGCCGAGGACGTTGGAACTTGTTCATCTGCTTCGACATGGCGTGCCCTCGCAGTCTTGGGAGGCACCACTTACTTTGGTCCATCCCATCCTTGGCTCAGAATGCTGAAGGAAACCATGGCAAGAAAAATCACTGGTTTTGTGAGGGCTGGCAAGTCAAGCAGTTCGGCATTGAACGCAAATTCGATCTTGACAAGGTGCCCATGTGACCACCAAGGTGTCCGAACCCTCCCAAGGGTCCATGGCCTGCAAGCCAGTGATGCGACAGCTTCAGCGAAAACAGCCGCCTGCCTGGAACATGGTTTCCAGCTCGCGGTCATTCCTGACACCGTCAAGGTGCTGCTTGTAGCAGCGCACGGCGTCAAACTTGGATTGGAGGTCCTCGCGCACGACAGGCTTGTCCATGCGAAGGCCTGCGATTAACCCTACCCAGAGACTGACATAAGGAAAGCGGCAGGGGCAGTTCTATAGGCTTCTTTGAACTCTAAACAATCGTCGCACGCCAGCTGGTCTGTGATCGTTGCGAAGCGCAACAGGTTGGACCATTTTTCACTGAATCTTCGCCAGAAATGGTGGTACCTGACAGGGCAGGCAAACAAGTACAAGTTGCTTTGCAAAGGTATGGGATAGGTATGGGCTTGACTCAACACACGCAATGCGTGACAAGCCACGAGCACTTCCTTCCAAACTGGATCCAAAGCATCTTGAGATTCCCCGGTGGAAGCAATCGAAAGGGCAACCGGGATATATCACTGCCGTGGTTTGTCTCTATGTACCTGTGCGCCCAACAAGTGTTGCAATGCTACTACTGCTGCGCTGCAGAAACAGTACGCCAAACAGCTTCTCCAGGAAAGGTGCTTGCAGAAAAACGACTGGTTGCTCATTGCATGAAGCTTCAGTTCTTCATCGTCTTCAAGCCGTTCAGAAGCATACGTGAGCTCTTTCTCGTCGGCGCTGTCGGGATCCAGCTCACCTACGGCGGTGGCTCTTCAGTCACACGCTTGCTGGGATTCGTACTGAAAAAGGGTGATAGAAAGCATGGGCTTAGCCAAGAGTCTTTGCAGGTCAGTATCTTCAGCCGTAGCATCGTCATCTAGCAGAGCAGCTAGGTGAGATGGCGTGTTGGCTGAAGTTCTCTTTTGGCCTCTGCGTTGAAACCTGAGGCAAGAATAAACTGAATGGGTCTGAATGTCTTGGGAAACCCTTTAGACTTGACAAGCAACTTGTCCGGCAGCATGCCTGCAGCACCCAAGTACAGATCGATGAAGAAGAGGTCCACGAGCCGGCTCTTGACGGCGGCGCGGCTGTTTACCTGAGCCGGGGCGAATCGGAAGTTGAAACAGACGAGGAAAGGCTAGGCGGCGCCCAAATGGGGCATCAACAGTTTTATGGGGGCAATTGTGACAAGCTGCTGACTGACCAAAGCGGCGGTCAACCCGACCAGTGAACGACTCAAACAATCGCCTCTCGTTGACGGCAAGGGCAGCGGCTAGACATTTTGGTGCCATGTGGCATCCCACCAGAACCCAGGTCTTGCGAGTGGCGCCAGCTGCTTCGCGCACTCGCTCATGCAACTCAGCGGGGGGCTCTGGTTGCGCAACTGTGGGTGGCATGACCCCGCACAATGGGGTTAGAACTTAGGCCCCTGAACGAACCAAGGGCCCAGCATACACGTCCTGCTGAAGCTTCGGCAAACTCCAGAACAAGTCCAGGAACAAAAGCAAGTCGTCAGTTTTGCGCTGGAGGGTCTTGAAGCAGCTGCCTCCAGTGCAGGAGCAAGTAGACGACCACAGCGAAGCCACTCGCTTCCGGTCTTGCCCATTAGTCTTGTGCCTGGGCGGGCGTTGGGCGCGTTGCGAATCGAGAAAACTGAAAAATACGATTACAGGAAAAACTTGCGGCTGATGCAGGCAAAGGACCCTATTCGGCTTACAAGCTTGCGATTCAGGGCCCGCATGCGGTTATCATAGTGCGGCCTCTTCCGGGAAGGGGCTCGGGACTGGCCAGCGGACGCGGCTTCAGAGCGCGCTTGGAAGTCCTTGATGGATGCCACAGTGAAATTCACGCGGCCAACCTCTGTTGGAAGCCCAGGCTCGGCAAGCTGAGGTTTTTGAGCTTTACCTTGAGACCCATGCGCATGTCCTCGCGTTTGGCTTTGTAAAAAGCGAAGCCTTTCAGAAGCTGCATTGGGGGCACATGGCGCCGGCAGCACAGTAACAGGAACTTTGGACCCATTAGTCTTCGACTGTTTGGAGTCCAAACCCTGTCTCAGGAAAGAAAAGTATCTTTTCCTTTCCCCAGACATGCAGCCTGCTCGAGTTTAGCGCCTGCGCAGAGCAGCCAGTGTGTTTGTCAACAACCTCGTCAGCAAGCGTTTCCATCACAACCAAATGCCAGGAAACCACCCCCAAACGCAACGAAATCATCATATATATGTTATATATATGTATACATATATATATATATATTTACGCATCCATAATACGTGTTATTGATGCACACTTCAAAAGGTTTGAGTTGTTGACCACTGGAAGGGCGCCTCAAGCAGCACCCCACAGGAATCGGGTTCCTTTTGGTTTCCTACTTGAGGCGCGTTTTTGTTTTCCGCGTCCATTCCGCGTTTAGGCGATCGCCATGCTGATGACGCAGCACCTCGAGCCCGAAGTGCAGCACTTGACGGAGGAAGCTGAGCTGGGGGCCCCGGACCAAATTCTCCCCCCCCCGGTCCCGGGGGGAGGGGCTCCCTCATGTGACTTGGTCGGCAATTCGTTGCCTGGAACCAAGAAGTGAGTCCCCCAAAAACGGCTCCTCTCTGGGTTTTTGGGGGTTTCAAGCCATCAAAACCGTTGGGGAAGCCCTAGCCAATGGAGCCCCCTGAAAAACCCTTTGCTCCCCTGCCCCAAATGGACTAGACAAATCAGGAAATGTTGACCGAACCTCACATCGAATGTCAAAAGTGAAAGCATCAGCAAGATTGCTCCAGCTGATATACAGCGCGCCGTATATAGATGGAGGCCAACACAAGGAAACGTTTAATCGTTTGAACATCTTACGGCAGGGTGTGTTTGCTTGTCAATTGATTCGAGAGTAAAGCAATAATTATCGGTTTACTTCTCAACGCATCCCTGTCAAAATCAGAATAAAGCCTGTTCTCATTCTGGTCCCTGTCAATGTGAATGCCTGGAGTCATCAACCCAATTTACATCGGCCCAACACGTGACGCTTAAATCACTCCACACGGCACATCTAGTTGGATCCTGCTAAGAGGGCGGAAGACTTGGGAAACCCAAATCAGCCAGGTACATAGTATGGGTCCTACTTAGGCGTTACCCAGCTGCAAATTAATATGGAACACAAGGGATTACCCCTCAAAAGAGATTCCTCTATAAATTGTGCCGAGGGTTTAAAGTATGTCAATTTGGTCCATTTGAAGTTTGCGAAAAGAGGAACTCACCAAATTTCTCTCACAAAAGCCAGGGGGCTAACTAGTTTTCCCACCTCTTGGAAAGGCAAGTAGTTTGGTGGCATTCCGAAGGACACATGCTCAAACTTACTCATAGTGAGCTTGCGAAGGGCGCAGGTCTATGGGGTGTACCAGACACACAAGCGCGCATGCATAATAACAAGTGAACAGAAAAGTAAACGGATGATTGAACAGACAAACACGTGAACAAATAAGAATGCAATCAATTCATGAATTTATGTCACATATGTATGTTATGTACACCGATTTTGCTGACCCCGCCCAAAGATCGCCAGTTCTTTCCGAGGCAGTTCCAGCGGGAGGTGATGACTGAGGAGGTGGAGTGCGTGTTCAAGAGCAACCTGAGCCCTTTGGCCGCATCCTTACCCCCTCGAAATACCCCAGCTATTTCAGGGCATCATGTTAACCCCCGGAATCAGACGGAAAACCAGGCTTTTCAGAATACACACTCCAACAAGCTGGTAGCCTGGGACTCGAAACAACAATGCTTGGTAGAGGCAACTTCATTTGAGGGACCCTTTTTTTGGGGGTCTCATGTTAAATTGCAGGGGTCCGTGCATTTCCCTTCGTGCGTTGGCATTTTAAGAGGAGTTCCCTTCTGGTTAGGTGATGTTTAAAGTGGACGTGTAAAACGCACCTGATCAGGCATAACGTTGACCACTCATTGATATTTTTTGGTTGGCATTTGCCTAGGCTGTTCTCGGTAATCGTGAGATGTCGATGTTTGTGGGAAATTCAGTGAGTCTCAATGTCCTCCTAAATTGACCATACACGAAAATGTGTTATTACGAACCTCACATGGTAGCAACCTGAGCGGGGATGGGACTCGAATCCAAAGGCCATGGCTGGCCAATGGCCCGCCCCGGATGTTTTGACCGTGGGGGTGGGTTTCGAGGAGTTCGGATGTCGTTTCGCCGTTCAGACCGTTTCGAAAGCCAACAAAAAGCCACTTGTGGCTCAGATCTGCTGAATGCGGCGTACAACATCTATGCGGGGATCACAGCGTCTGGGCGGCACTAGACTGGAGTCGCCTGACCCCTCACGGGGCCCCTGAAAGCGGTTGAGTTTGACGGGCTCTCAAAATGATTTATTGCTGGTGTCCCATTTTTCGAACACCCAGACACAATGAGGCGGTTCCCCCCCAAAAAAAATGGGTTTCGGGTAACCAACCAGTTTAAGTCGAAAGGTTTCGCCACCCTGCCACCCTTTCACTTCGCTTTGGCGGTCCTCGAGGTGGCAAGCGGGGTGTTACTTGAGGACTTTCCTTGAGCAAAGGAGTGGGTCTGGGTTGAGACGCCAACAGGTCAAGCCACTTTTTTTCACCGTGCTGAGGTTCTGGCGGAATGTAAGATGGAGATCAACAACAGTAGGTTTGGGGTTGGAACGGGGGTTCCTCCGTTTGGCACCAGTAATAAGGTCGATGTTTCTCGGCGTCTGAGGAAGTGCCGGAGCAAATGCCCTACGTTGCAGACCAGACGTCCAGCAAGAGGCCAGGGATTTCCACGGCTCTCCCAAGCGCCCTCACAATTGAGTGGATTTAAAGGGAAACCAGCAGGAACTTCACCATGTTTTGGGTGCCCCTATTTTGACACACACTCCCACACACATTTCTGAGCTAGGGATGGTCTGACGTAATTTGGTTCCAAACTACCCACGACCCCTTTTTTCACGCAAGCTAGCTTTAGTTAGCTGAAATGCCGAAAGATTGATGTTATCAATTATTTGAGCCAAACAGATTGCAAGAATCAATTATTTAGACCCCTCCTTCGCCCCCCTTTCCGGGCTCGAATCCCCCCTGGTCCACCCGCCCCCCCCTGACTTGGACCCAGAAGCACATTTTCAGGGCATCCGGTCTGCATCTCCGAATCCACTTTCGTTGTCTTCCTCAGTCTTCTCAGGAAAGCACCTTGCAGGAAGCCGTGCGCAAGCCACATGCAGAACCCAGGAGGTGCTTTAAGACGGCTTGAGACACCTCTCGTTATTTTCTTTTTTCACGGTCTGCCTGGCCACCATGTCACCTCCTGAGGATCTTCACGGCGTCTCTCACGTCTCATACAACAGTGGCTAGCTTTCGTTCACCCTCCTCAAGTTGTTAGCAGCGTGTCTCGTCTTGGAGGGTGCCTTGGTTCTCTTTGAGGAGGGCATTTTTTCGGGTTCAAAGAGGTACCAAGGTTTTAACCAATCACCGGCTGACTTTCAGTACTTTCAACAGGTTCGGCTTTTTGCAATCAGCTGGACTGCCACGCAGTCGACCAATCTACTTCCGGGTTGCTTTCGGCTTGAAGGAGAATTGAAGGATCATGGCTGGATCCCTCTTCGGAGAGTACCTCTGGGTGTCAGCTCTTTGAAAGGCGTCGTTGAGTGGAAAGAGGGCGGACCCCTTGCATTCAGCACACACCGCGCTCCACAGTTGTTGGCTTGGGCATGGAGTGTTTGTCAAAGGTGCTGGTTATCCTTTTCCTTTGGTTCATGATGTTGGTTTCCTGTCGGTTTTCTTCTTTTTCTGTTCCGTTGGCTGCGTTGCGTTTCAGTTTAGGTTTTTGAGGAGACTCCCGACGCCCTGCGGTTCAATCACTCCCCTGCGAATTCGCAGAAGGAACACGAATGCAGATCCGATCGCAGAAGAAGATGTATTCATTGATGAGCCGCGTGTAGGTTCCAGGTAGTTCTGTTTGGGGTGTAAACCTTGAACCCCCAGTCTACTGAGCGGGCCCACCAACTTGTCAACTGGGTGATGCCAACAGGCAGATAAACTAATACAGGGAGGAAACTCCTATTTTTCAGTTAGCATTCATCTACATTTCCAAAAAACAAACAATGGACCATTGTCCTCTACCGCTGGAACCCTTTGGCAGGTTCCTTCCGGTTTTGTTTTTGGGAATGTATGTTCTTTTCTTTTGGTATGTGTCAAAATAGGCCTTTTGAAACGGTGGCTTTCCTTTGGGTTTCACAAAACACAAACCTGAACAGGGTAGCCTCAAGCAAAAATACGTTCCTGAAAGATGGGGATATTACTCGCCCCCCCCCCCCCAAACCAAACAGAGGAAGCACGTCGCCCTACGTTTGACCAGTCAGCAAGACTCCATATGTTTTCTTTCTTTCTTTCCGTTGGTTTATCACCAACCTGAAGAAGGTGGCCTCAAACAACAGTTCAAGCCTTTTCTTTAAAACATCATATCAACCCAGCTTTTCAAAAGTTATCCTGGCAAGAGCCCCCAAATAGTACTGGGTTTAATTTGACGACGGGTGGCCCGCAAGCATAGAAAGACGTTAAATAAACTCTGACACCTCTCCCACTGCACAAGCGTAAACACATCAATGTCCCTTCGTAGCTTCTGCAAGTTCTGATGAGCAAGCTTGGCGCCGCGCTTCGAAAAATCCTCTTCTGTCAACTGCTCTTGCGCGCTACGCTGTGTTTTGACGCTGCTGCGCGTGAAGCCACGCGTGATGTTGCGCATGATGCTGCTCAGGCGTTGCACACGGTGCTGCGAGTGACGTTGCGCACGACGCCGTGCATGATGCTGCGCATGATGCTATGCGTGACGGTCCCTCTCGCGTGATGCTGTGCAACCTCTCTCACCCAACTTTTCATGTCCCTTTCTCCTGTCAACCTCTCTTGTCCATATCTGCGTGCAGTTCTGGTTGCGCAAGAAGGCTGGCGGTTTTAGTTGCAGAAGTGTACTAACTAAAGAACCGCGGAAGCAACTCTGCGTATCTCACGCTCGCCCAGCTGCTTCTCAAGGAGCTCGATCCGACGCAGCAGGTGCGAGCGCTCGGCCTCAAGCATCTTGCGAGAGTGCCTGCGTAGCGTTTCGCAGAGAGCTCGCTGCACCATCAGAGCAGATGCAGGGTCGTAACACCCATGGGAACGCACTTCGCGCACCACTTTTGCACTTAAAGTCGCGATTTTGCAGCCGGAGCTCTCTGAAAGCTCTTCAGGCACTTTTGTACTTAAGACTGGTGAATTTTCAGTCGAAGCGCTGCAGGAGCGCACTTCGCGTGCGACTTTTAGCCGCGCCTCTGGAAATGCTGTTCACGTATTACCTTGGTACTTAAAACTTGCGATTTGTCAGCCGGAGCTGCGGGAGCGCGCTTCGCCTACTACTTTTGTACCTACAAGTTGCGGTTTCGCAGCCGCGCCTCTGGAAATGCTCTTCACGTACTTTTGTACTTGAAACTTGCGAATTTTCAGCCGGAGCTGCGGGAGTGCGCTTCGCGTACTACTTGTGCACTTACAATTTGCGATTTCGCAACCGCGCCTCTGGAAATGCTCTTCGCACGCTTTTGTACGTAAAACTTGCGAATTTTTAGCCGGAGCTGCGGGAGTGCGCTTCGCGTGCTGCTTTTGTACTTGCAATTTGCGATTTCGCAGCCGCGCCTCTGGAAATGCTCGTTGCGCACTACTTTGGTACTTAAAACTTGCGATTTGTCAGCCGGAGCTCGCTTCTCACAGTACTTTTTGTACTTACAATTTGCGAATGTCGTGCCGGAGCTGCGGAAGCGCGCTGCGTGTACTAACGCGCGATCGTGAAAGCAGACGCGCGGACCACGAGACAACTTCCAAACACCGATTCGCAGGCAAAGAAGCAGAAAATCCGAACGGCGCCACAGCCAGAGCGCTTCGACGCGCAGGATCTCCGCAGAGGGTTCGCCGAGAGCGAGACGCATTCGCATGGCGCCGAGAGCGCTTCGACGCGCAGGATCTCCGCAGAGGGTTTGCCAAGCTCAAGACAAATTCGCACAGCGCCGCAGCGAGAGCGCTTCGACACGCGAGAGAGGGTTCGCCGAGAGCAAGACGAATTCGCAGGGCGCCGCAGCGAGAGCGCTTTGACACGTGCGATCTCCGCAGAGGGTTCGCCGCGCTCAAGACAAACTTGCACGGCGCCACAGCGAGAGCGCTTCGACACGCACAATCTCCGCAGAGGGCCCGCCGAGAGCAAGACGAATTTGCACGGCGCCACAGCGAGAGCGCTTCGACACGCAGGATCTCCGCAGAGGGTTCGCCGAGAGCAAGACAGATTCGCACGGCGCCACAGCGAGAGCGCTTCGACACGCGCAATCTCCGCAGAGGGCTTGCCAAGCTCAAGACAAATTCGCACGGCGCCGCAGCGAGATTCTTCAACGCGCAGGATCTCCGCAGAGGGCTCGCCGAGCTCAAGACGAACTCGCGCGGCGCCACAGCGAGAGCGCTTTGACACGCACGATCTCCGCAAAGGGTTCCCTTTCGTCTCGCAACGCTTGCAAATGAGTGCAGCGCTGCGCCTGCTACGAAATTCACAGACCCTTTTTATGAAAATTCTGCGCCTACCATGCATCCTATAGCGCCCTTTAGCATCAGCGCAAATCATACTGCGCCCGCCACGAAAAACGCGCGGCAGTCTCACAGAATGCTGCGCTGGCCATGGAATTCTGCGGTAACACGCAAATCCCAAAAATCGGCGCGGCGCCACAGCAAGAACGCAGTTTTGAAGAAATGTCCGTCTTGTGCGAAGCCCTCGCCCTCAAGATAACTTTTTGCGACAACTGTCATGGTTTTAGAGCTCCGATTGTCCCAGCGTCGTAGCCTGACCCGACAAGAAGATATCACCGCGTGGCGGCCCTGCCATCAAAAAAGGCACCTTGCTCTCAAAAAGCCGCGTTTGGCGCGAGGGTTTCTCAAAAAACACACAGGCCTCCACTTTTGCCGCAAGAACCCCATAGTGTAAACACTATTTAGGGAAAGATACCCTCAAGCAGCGGGTATTGGAGTTGGGGCTATGTCCTTCCCTTCTCTGGGGGTTGCAGCCAGCTGTTGCTGTCAGGAAGGTAACGCTGCCGGACTTGTACGAGCTCCTGGACGATTGCCCCGCGGACGAAAATTCGAATGACAGTGAATAGAACCCTGGTGAAACTTGGGTTTCATCTTGAACCTTGCAGTTTTTGGTTGAACATGTTGATGCTTTCACCAAGAAAAAGTCTAAACTTTGCGGGCATCCGCAATTGCCGTCAAGGTTTGGTGGCATCTTACATTCTGCCCTTGGCTCAAATGATGAGCAAGAAAAGATGGGGTGAAAGTATGGATGGCACAGTTCCCTTGATGTCGGTAAGTAAAGGGGTGGCTAGGCCTGAATTACCAAATTGTGCCATCCACTTTCTTTCAAACCCAGTTTCATCCAAGTGTATGGGGCATTCTCAAAATGTGTACCCAACCATCCTTGCTTTATGGGGACCCCTATGTTGAAGGCCATCCGTCCTTTCCGGTTTCAGTTTGGTTGAGTCCGGCGAAGGAATTACCGTGAGTCCGGCCATGGCAGACTAAATCTTTATCCCAGATTCATCGAAAGCCTAGCTCCGGATTCTGGAGGAACATTGCTAGAGGTCAGTAGTAGACTTGTGACTTTCTTCCGGGGGGGTCCCCACGAAAGCGGAAGGAAGTTAGTGAAGCTGCGCACAGAACGAGCTGTGCGAACAGGGGCTCTGGGCCATTCCGGAAAGGTTTCGGGAGGTATCAGGGATGCAAGGGCTTATTGCCAATTGAAAGTCTCCCTTAAGCATTGAGCCTTCTGAATCCCGCGAAGGAAAGCGTATGTCTTTTTTCAATATCGTGCGTATTTTCTGTTTCGGTTGGTCGTTCACGAGAGCATTGACACAGGATTCCTTCATTTACTTGTCAACATGGAACCCCAGAAACCCGCCTCGCATTTCTGGGACCCTTTTGTTGGGCTTAGGCTGGCATGTTTTTGGGCAAATTATAGCAAGCTCACCTTGGGGTTAAATGGGTTCACACATGATCAATGTTCTTTACTTGGGATTCCCTATGTTCACATTGTGCCGCTTTCGCATCCCTCAGCAGTCACGTCATGCAGTCAGAGGTGAGCCATTCTCCAATCTGGACAGAGGTGCATTTTGCTGGAATGTTAGGACTTTAACCTTTTGCCAACCAATGGGTTTTCCATTAAACCACTAAAAGTTAAACTTTTAGCAGGGAGCAGAACTCAACCGAGTGGACATTGCGAACACAGGGCTGGAGCGTGGCACCAACTCCGGGGCTCTGGCAAGTCGTCCCCGCAGGCTAGCAGTGGGTCCTTCCAACATGGGCGTTGATTGGGTTGTAAATTCGCCTGGGTGTTTGAGTTTGTACCCGTTTTGCTTTGTTTGAAAGGGAAACGACAAGGAACACCCTCATACCGAATTGCCATGAAGCTAAGTCCCAATTTGCCAATTTAAGTAAAGTGAGCGCCGAGCCGCTCGCAGGCGACGCCTACGACGACCGGTTCCTGCGGCGGCAGACGTCCAGGGCGTTCTCGCTGGCCAACATGTGGCAGGTGGATGAGGCCAGCTTGGGGAATCCTCAAGAACTGGCATGTGGTGGTGTCTCAAAGTGGCGCAGCCCTGAAAATGCTCGATTCTTCTTTGGGTTGCCCTTCAAACCGATCCGAAAAGGGGTAATTACCGATTACCCTCAAGAACGGCAAGCCCAATGTACTCATGAAGGTGCTACCTGTGGAACCAGACGCGGGGGTCCAAGACCTTTTGCGTAGGGATTTTCTGGTGGATTCAATTGGTGGTACCCCTACCCTCGGGGGCTCCAAGACAGCATCGACCCACACATAGCCTGCCATGTAGCCCTTAACCTTTTGTTGGCCCAGGGATCCGGCGTGGTTTTGCGAATCAGCCCCCCCCCCCCCCCGACTTAGCCCTTGAATTCCGGAGGGAGGGGGCAGGGTTTGCCAAGCGAACTCTATTTCCCGTTCTGGGGAGGTCTCCGGTACGTTTTGGAAAGGCCAACGTTCCTATGTAAAAAAAAGAAAGGCCCAGCAGCGGAATTTCCAAGGGGCCCTGATTAGGCACGCACTATTACGCACTATTAAGAAGAACAAACAAGAAAAAACAATTAGACGCCACTAGGCACCACTAAACACTATCAGGCACTACTAGGCACTGCTAGGCACTGCTAAACACTGCCAGGCACTATTCGGCACGATTAGGAATAGTCACTATTAGGCACTAGGTGCGATTTGGCACTTTAGTCGTTCCTGGGGGGGGGGAGTTGGTAGGCCCTTGACAAGAACAGGAACATTTTGGTTGAGCCCTTTGGTAGGGCGTTAAATGGGACAAGAAGGAACCTTGAATGCCAGTGGTCCACCGTTTTCCAACAAAGAAACAGAGCCCAGCTTCGTATTCCACCAAAGGGTGTTTTGTGCGTTTCGATTGTTTGTGCTTCCTGTTTGATGCTTCTGGTTGCAATTCTCTTTGCTTTTGTTTCTTGCCATGCCTAAGATCCGATGTTCCACTGCCCCCAGTCCAGTGCTCTGGTAATCTTTATTAACCCAGAAATGGGGCGCTTTTTGAAAAATGGGGCGCTTTTTGGTTTTCCTCTTGGTCTGAAACTTGAAAGATCAAGGTGTATTCGAGCACAGAAACCACCTTGAACCTGTGCCTTGCCCCCCGCAGATTTGGTTGTTTTGTTTTGCGGACTAGAACTTGAGCCCAGGAACATCTTGAACTTCGATTTTCCGGGGGAGTCTCACCGGACAAGATGGATCGATTTGCAGGTGTCCACGTCCCGGCACATGTACCTGAACTTTGTGGAGCCTGGTTCCCAGTGCCGTATCGCTTGTGGCAAAGTAGTCGTAGGGAGCGACTTTGGTATGAAGGGGTTATTTTTCACAACCATGGCCGCGTCCTTGCTGCGCTAGGACTGAAGGGGAGGGAAGGCATGGTTGCACGCAGGGGTGGCAAAATGTGGGGCCACCTCTGCGTGGCTACCATTTGGTTTGCTCTACTTTTCGGAATATGTTTTTTTCCCGCCCACCAGCAAAAGGTGAATGACCTTGGTATATTAGCAAGCAACTTGCTGGTTTTGCAACCCCTCTGAATTTCCACCGACAAACCACTGGGTGGCAGTTTTGGACGATCTGATTAGGCCTGGAATTGAAGAAAGCCGATCCGATTCCATCGATTGGCCATTCGTTTGGGGTGGGAACCTGGCCCGGCAGGTTCCTGATGGCCCTTGGCGCTGCGCGGAGCCCCGTGAATGTTGAAAGTCCACGAGTTCCTGGACTTTGAGATTTGGTTGCTGTGGTCACGCATGCCCGGGGTGTTTAGATTTTGGAGGCAAGCGACAAGTTTGTTTTGCCAATCAACGCTGGAAGTGATGTTGAAGGACCCATTTCTCATGAAGTCTGAGGTGAGAGGTGTGAGGTGAGGTGCATTTGCAGCTGCTGACACTTTGCTCTTGACTATGCAATAGCCCTCCGAAGGTGCAGAAGACTATTGAGTTTCCCAAAATAGAGGTGCTCTAAAATTGCTGGTTTCTTTTGTTCCCTTTACATACCGCTCAAAAGGACGTTTTTTGTCAACACCTTTTCAAAACCACCAGATTGACCACCATGGCTTGCAGCGGGCGGCGCGTTCCACGTGTGGGACAATGCCTGTCACTACAAACAACCACTGACAAAGTACTGTACTTCAAGAACCCGTTGTGCAGCTTTTCGGTCTTGGCTATTGCTGGGCAAAAGTGTAGAGAGAGCCACTGCTCCACGAATACCGAAGCGCACAGAGACGGCCTGGGCTGTCCCCTTGGCGTGTTGCTTTCCTGTGCAAGAACCTCGGCATGTCCACGCCCATCGTGGAACTCACTGCAATCCCCGAGAAAATGAGGGGCTTCTATGGGTGAAGAGAACGAGGTGAATCAACCCTTAGAAATGAGGTTGGTTCGTCCAGCCACTCTTGTAGGGCAACTTAAGTGAAGCGTTGGGCGGCTCCGGAACTCAAAACAATGACCAAATAAGAAGGGTAGAGAAGTTGGTACTCGTAGGGGTCCTATCGGTGTAAGTGAAATTCGCAAGGGTATTTGGAACAATCTTGTTATTGGGAAGGCTTGCCGGATCCGAGCTTTTGGATTTCTGGTGGTCCTGTGGCGAGATGAGGTTGAGGACGCCGATGAAAAGCCGTTTTGCAGCACAAGCCAAACCGAGGTTGTGTAGAAGATTGTTACCTTGCAATGTTAATTTCGGATTAGTAGGATCCATTAGGGTTATTTCCCCTGAACAATAAATGAACTCATCTATTCTTTGGGGGTTGCCCAGAAGGTCCTCTGGCTTAATCCAATGTGTTCATTAAACCAAGGAGGTGTCTCAAAAGAGTCATCGTAGTTCAGCCCCAAGGGACATGCACAGATCCCCTGAGTGCAGCCTCATGTGCTCACATTGGGATGTTCTCCTAAAAGGTCATTTGGGGAGAAGCTTGGGTTACGTACCATGAACGGGTTCCAAAAGAGTGCAATGAGGCTGTAGGTCGCTTCAGGCCACTTTCCGCGACCCTTGTAGCTCCCTTGCAACTCCCCAGTCATAGACATGGGAATGAACCAGGTTTTGCCGAAAGGGGCACGCATTTCCACAAGCATGGGATTGTCCCTTGGACGTGTCTTTTTGAAGGGACACCAGGGTGTGACAAAAGGCGCAAACATGTTTTTTGTCGAACACCTAGGCAAATGGCGTGTACTCACGAGGGTTGCACCCCGAGGTTGTCTTCCTCAAGGATTTCTACAAGCCCGCAGAAATGGCCGACCTTCTCGAGGCCCCGGTACACTCCCAAAAGCGGGCCCGAAGTTTTCCTCGGCTCTTTGGTGGATTTGCCGGTGGTTCTGTTTTGGGGAAGCTTACCGTTGGCAAACCTCAAAACGTGTTTCCACATGTTGGTAGGTGTTGCTTGGGTAACCTTACCTGTTGAGTTGGTCATTCTCCCAAGCCTTTGTTCGTAGCTGTTCTTCAGCAGTCTAGGCCCAAAAGGTGGAAATCGCGACCTTCCAGCAGCTCACAAGCCCGGGTGCGGCTTTCGAATCAAAGGGTCTTGCTCGAGGTCGATGGTGAGAATCCATTTGCTTTCATGGTTTGTGGTTTACACTAAGCCGTGCCTGACGTACGCCGGCAATTTGCGGTTTTGCGACCCCCTTGTGTGCGGGCCTGGTGGGCCTAACTCGGGAAGAACTCAGGGACTTGGACCCCAACTCTACGCAGACCAACACGCAGCGACGCACACACCATGCGAAGTGGCAGGCTTTCGCTTGGTCCCTTGCCACACGTAGTGAACCTGTTTCTTTGTTCTTCTTTTTTTCCGACGTGCAGTCCGAAGGCTGTTTGTGAAGTGTCAGACTTTCTTGCAGGACGATACGAAATCAAGACACGCTGTTGTGGAATTGGGGCATTCTGAGTTTTCCGCCAAGTGATGCCGCGACCCTGGAGAATTGAAGACTTGCAGGTGTTCAGTGGATTCCACCGTTTTGCTCCTTTTTGTTTGGTGGCTTTGGTGCGGTGGGCAATCGCCAAGGTTTGTATATCCCCACACCCAAAACGTGGAATTGCGAAATTGCGGTAGGCGGTAAGCAAGACAAACGGACGCGGTGACCCCAAAACGCCTCCATCCACACTGGGATCTCGGAATCGTTCTACACTTTGCGGTTCACCGAGTAGGAGTCAGAATCAAACATATTGTTGTTGGTTGAGCTGAGGTAGTTAAGGCAGAGGGACGTCCAGTTCAAGAGGCAATTCTTGACTTTTGTGGACCCGTCCCCCTATAAATCTACCAGGATGATGAATCCGGGGCCGGCATTACTCTGAAGCGAACAGTCGCCCAAAAATTGAGGAGTCTAGCTTTTAGCAAGGGATCAACTAACCAAGGCCTGCAAAAGGTCACTTTGGGGGATGATTTGTGTTCTCTCATCCCCGGGAAGAAAGTCCTTGCGTTTTGCCGGGGGCGCCTCATGGCAGGAGTTTTTGCTGGATCAGCTCCAGCCTGTGGTTCTGGATTACAGGCCGTCCGACCGACCTCTTCTGGCTCCCCATCCGGTTCTTTCCCTGGGCTTCTTATTGTTAAGCATCACCCAAAGGGGCCACGTTGAAGGGAGTTTCCTTCTGGGGTGAGCTTGGTCTTCCATGGTTCATGGCCGGACTGGCGTCTTGGGAACTTTTGAAAGGACACGATGAGAGGAAATGTGTCAACACCTTCTGGCACCCAGCTGAGAACCCCACAATTGATCGGCCCACACCTCCGGTGCCCCTTCTAGTGCCCCTTCCAGTGCCCCTTCCAGTGCCCTACCAAGAATTTACTCCCTCAGTTCCTTGACTTTCAAGTTTTTGAGAGTATTTTTTCAGTGCTACAAAATAAGTGATGACTCCGACTTTGTCTGGCTTATCCACTCAGGAAGGGAAGAAGTACCTACCCTTTGCCTGGGAGAATAAACAAAACGTGGTTCGGTTTCCTGCCTTCGCGGCGAAACTCGGTAGCTCGTCGCCACGCCCAAAGAGCGCGTGGCGCATCAAGCGATGAACACGGGGCAACAATTCCTCAATATCACACAAGTGAGGACGAACTTTTGACTCTTGAGCACCAACGTTTTAGCTGGTATATGTTGGAAGAACCCGGTTTTCCTAAGGACATTTTTGTGTATTCAGTAGTTAACAAATAAAGCCTAAAAGGAAAGCGTAGGCATTTGGAGTCGGGTACCATAGGTGTCCTTTTTAGGTTGCAACCAAAACCAGACTCCGCAGGTCCCGGAACGGCAAGGGCGGGCAGGAGCCGGAGCCCCGGCTCTGGACGCATGACAGGAAATGACGGGGTAAAAGGAAAGCTGCAAGGAATCAGGAGGAAAGGGAAACTATTTTTCAGTCCCTGCTCATGGGGGGATGTTTCCTGGGGCTGGCTTTCTCTTAGCTCTGGTTCCCTGGCTGGTTTGTCGGTTGGTTGGTTGGGCAGTCGGTTGATTGGCCGCATCCCCGGCATTGCCAGCCTCCCATTGCTCTGATTGGATGGCAGCTCGGGGCTGGTAAATTAGGGAAGTCTTGGGCTGGCTTAGATCTTACTGAGGGTGGGATTGGTCTTGAGCGTTGCCCCAAACCACCAGAACTAGCCCAAAGTTCACGTAGCCACGCCCTAAAGCAAACCTAAAGCCACCTAAACCAGCAGCATGCCTAACACAAATCAGCTCCAAGCGAACCCCAAACCGGCCGCCCCTTGCTGAGCCTAAATGAATCCCAAACCAACCCAAGACGGTAAGATCTCAGCCAGCCTAAAACACCCCTAGTTAAACCAGCCCCGAGCAACTCCCAACTGCCACCCCATCAGAGCCTATAGGAAACCAGGCCCAAGTGAGGCTGGTGATGCTGGGGCCCCCACCATTACCAGGTCGTTTGAGGTCAATGAGGTGCCTTTGGTTTGCTGAGGTTGCTCACGCACAAGACTGTGCGCGCGGTGGTCAAAGAGGTTTTCAAGGATGTGGACGAGGATTACGACTTCTGGCCGGCCGAAGCGGATTTGAGAGCGCCACTTACTCCAAATCCCAGGCTCCTTAAGCTTTTTTAGACCCTGTCAGACTATGCTTGAGGGTTGCAAATAGTTCGCAATTATGATGGGATTGGGAGCAGGTAGAACACATTCAGTCCATCCAAAGGTTTGTGTTGTTGCTATTTCCAATTGTTTATTTGCGGATTGTAAGGAAACACTTTGGTGGCCCTTTTAGATGTGTTTGGCTTCAGGGCTTTGGGTGTCCAATCAACTGTCTAACATTGATTTGGGAGTTTGGAGGGGACATCCAAAAAGGTATGAGATTCGATCACAGCCTCGCGGAGGTTTTATCTCGTCATTGGCTGGAACTCGAAGAATTTGCTGCCCTTTGTTGTAGAGCCTGAAAAGGGTCTTGGGAAGGAAGGGATCCAGGGTCACAGCATCACTGGCAGCAAAGTCATGCAGGGGTTGCGCAACTTGATCAGGGGGTTGATATAAGAGGATACCCAACTGATATTCTACTTCTACCATGATTAAATATGGTTTTAAAGTTCCCAAGCCCCATTCTAAGTCTTGAATGGCCCTTACATGTGTCTTTCCTTTTCCAGCCAAGTTTCTACCCTGACGGGTGTGGAGCAACCCTGCACTTGGGGTTGGACCATGTCGATTTGGACCCTGTGGGTTCCATGGCAATGTGGGTACTCTGAAACGCATGGCTTTTCCACAACTGGGCTGACTTACACCTCGCAGAGACAAATCTGAAGCAATGCGTGCCATGTCCTGTTTTGACGGTTCCGCTTGGGAGAAAGAGATCCACCCCTTTGCACAGGACATTATTGCCACAAACTGAATTGATCTGAATTGTCATTTTTTAGATCCTATGTTTAGAGTGCAACGTTGACCAATGTCATCCTTGAGGTAAACAACTAGTCACCATTCCAAGTTGGAAAAGGGTTCTACTACCTGGGTTGATAGGATCAAACAGAGGGCTATATAAAACTTGATGAAAAGGTTTGTATTACTACCAAAAGTCGCTGATCGGTGTTTACTGGTGGGACTGCTCAACCAGTGTGGCTAAACCGCACACTAGTGTTTTCACAGTCCCCTGCCTGATTCGTAGGGAGTGCCCAATTTTGGAGGGAATTCGGCTCACTTTGCACCCCGGAATAATAGTCCACTAAAATCATGAATCCAGGGTTGACATTAGATGAAGGGTACTGTACCATTGTTGGTTTCATTATTGGATATGTTGCTTTTGTTGCTGGGAGGCCCTAGGGATGCACGCTGGACTTGAAGAGCACGTGCAAGCAGCTGGCAGTGGCAGCGGATGACCTGCGGTCGTTGCAGTCTGGACCCAGTTGCCCGAGCGCGCTTCTTTCTGCCCAATGTGCTGCCCTTCGGCGCGACGGCGTTTGTGTGGGCTTCCAACTCCACCCGTGCGCCGGGTGTCACAACTACCTGCTCATCTTTGGGCGTGCTGAAGCCTCGGGAGCTGCCATGGCGCGGGTCGGACTGCAGCCGGAGTGCTTTGGGGGCAATCTTGTTTTGTTGTACTTGAGCTTTGTTGTTTGTTTGGCCGCATGCTTACTTTTTGCTACCTTTCGGGCTGTGCTGATTAGCTTTGTTATCATTCTGCATGCGCGCTATTGTGCTTCTGTCTTGTTTAAAGCTGCGCTTTGGGCTTTTCTTCTTGCCTCTTCTTGCTGAGATTCCACTAGTTTGGGGCTAGACCTTGGATTTCGCGAGCGGGTTTGGGAGGATCTTGATGCAGAAGAGTAAGAGTAGGTTGACGAGGGCCTGCCTTTGTTTAATACCCTGTTTGGATTGGTTTAGAGGAAACCAAAAAAGAACACCCATTGCCTGGGTACCTATTTTGAAACAAACCGTGAATCCTTCGCCCAAATTCGCAGGCCCAGAGGCCAAGCGGAACCGGACCGCAGGATGCCAACCAAGCGCTGTCCATCCGCGAGTTCGGACGGTGCCTACAAGCCCCGATCTTGGGATTGCTTTTGATGTACGCGCACACGCGTGTGCGGGTGTGTGTGTGTGTGTGTGTTTGTTGGTGCTTGTGCTTGTGCTGTGCTTGTGCTTGCGCTTGCGCTTGTGCTTGTGTTTGTGTTTGTGTGTCGGTGCCTGTGTATCTAATATGTTTGTGTGTCTGTGTGTGTCTGTGTTAAGGGAAGCCTTTCCACATATGCTTCTTTGGAAGCCAAAGGAAGAACCGCTTTCTTTCTCTTTCTTGGGGGGGAGTTTGACGCAAACTCAGGTGTTTACGTCTGAAGGTTCACAAACGTCTGGAGTCGCCGTGAACCCTATTCGAAGACACCCAGTGGCACAGTGGTGCCCTTTTTCCTTTTTTGGCAGTGCTTCCCAATGCAAGGTGCCATATATTCCCACCGCTGGGAGTCTGGGTGCAACGCATGGGTGATAAAGTACCCATATTGTTGTGTACGTACACGTCTTGAAGGGGGTCTACCCGTGAGACTCAGGCAAATGGATTACCCACTGACTGCTGTCAGTTCACCCATTTGCAAGTGAAATCCATTGATATTTCCAGCCGGAATACTGTTTTGAGCCGTCTTGCAGTGGGTCTTACCGGTTCAGTGGTCAATCAAATCTTTAAATAACCATTCGGGCCTTTCAAATGAGGTCTTTTCAGTGATTTTTCTAATTGTTCACGTCTGCATAAAATCCTCAAAAGAAGGTTGAGAGTATGACCAGAACTAAGGAATTTTATGGAGTTGGGTTCATCATCAAGGCACTGATCCATTGATGTGGGCATGGTGAGGTTTTGTGCTTGCGGGAACAAGCTGAGAAAAGTTGCGAAGAAAGGTTGGGAACATGTTGGGACAATGTTGGGAATAAGGTTCGGACAAAGGTTGGGAAAAGGTTTGGGAAAAAATGGGAAAAGTTGGGAAAAGGAAACAGTTGGCAAAAGGTTGGGGAAAACAGGTTGAGGAAAAAGTCGTGAAAAGGAGGGAAAAGATTGGGAGAAAGTTGGGAAAAGGTTGGGGAAAAGGTTGGGGAAAAGTTGGGAACAAGTAGGGAAAAGGTTGGGATACGTTGGGTAGCCGTTGAGAACAGGGAAAAGCTTGGGACAAGTTGGGAAACGCGTGGAAAGAGTTGGGAAACGGTTGCGAACAAGTTGGGATGAGAATCACAATGCTGCAAAGACTTTTCTGATATGAGTGGAAACACAGCTGCTGTGAGGGCCTTGCAGGGCTGGCACTGTGCGGTTTTGTTTGGGGGGGCGATTTTCCAGGGTTATTCAGGATTATGTAGCTTTTCGTTGGGATTGCATAGCTTCTTGTGGTTTTCTCTGGGTGGTTCTGCCTAAAAGCAGTTTCCAAAGAGACCTTTCTTGAAACGGTATGACTGGTACGCCTTCGATCAAACAAGAGGAAAGGAGAACGAAGAGCGTGGAAAAAGGGGGGATCCTAGGAAGTCTGAGTTCTACCTGAAACCTAGGCCCAGTTCAGTTTCAACACTTTAAGAGTTTTGTTGCTCACGTTAGCCCAGGGCGAACAGTGCAGTCACTTTTTCTCGTCCGGCGGTTCGACCCTGAACCTGTTTGAGCAAATGAAAAGGCAACCAGGTGACTTGTGGTCCTTTGCCCTAGCATTAAGCCATGGGGTCTCTGCCCGTGGTCGGGAGCGTTTTTGGGTTGCTGTTGGGGACACCGGGCCTTTTCCTTGATTCATTCGGGCCCATGGTGATTGCCTAAACATTTCCCATTATGAAATTGGCGGTTTGGCGAGAACCGCACTTCAACGACCTAGTGGCTTTGGGCACTCACTTTATCAATTCGACACATAGCTCCTATTCGTGGGATCCAAGCCCGTCCTTGAACCTTCTGGTTTCCTCTCAATTCAAGGCCCCAAGGCCTTACAACGGTCTTGCCTTTGGATGTTGCATAAAGGGTTCCCCTTTAAAAGCCAACCAGAAAAGGGTACCTTTGTTCCTCTTCGATCTTGGAAGGGGTTTCCCTTGATTGCTAGCCCACAGAACTAGGTACCCGTTCCTCCCGGGAAATCCACCGGAGGTCTATGCGGTTTCACTGGTGGACCACATGTTCCCCGAAATGGACCCCCGAAATTCGAAATGGACCCCTAAGCCCTAAACCCGCAACCCGAAATGCGTCCTTTTGGTTTTCGTTTGAAACCTTCCCGAAGGGGATCGATCCACTTGTGGAACCCGCACCGCCGCGTGCTTCGAGGATCCGCGGACCCAAGAGCTGCTGATGAACCGGGAGTTCCGCATCGAGGACGAATCTGCGGCGCGCAGCGAAGGTTGGTGGACATGGCAACCTGAAAGTCTAAGCTTCTTGTGTTCTTGTTGTTTTTTCTTTTCTTTTTCTAATGTTCGAACTTGTGCTATCTTTGCCGCTGAGCAAACCCCTCTAAACCTTAACATTGAATTGTTTTATCCTTGAACTTGTTGCTTATGTCAAAGGCTGTTTTTGTTGCCGCGAAGAGTGATCGTCCTAAGCCCTTAGCAGCTTGCAATATCGCTCGTTTTGTTGGACATGTTCGTAAATGTGTCGTGAAATGTTCACAGAAACATGGCCCTTTTTCCGCTGAAGTCATTGAGTCATGGCCCCAAGTATTGGGGTTTTGGTGGACATGGAACCATTCATGTCTCGAACCTCCTTTGGGATCAATCGACCCCGACGGTTATTTGATTTGCACGGGGCTCCCTCAATTTCTTTTCAAACATCACCCCTAGCTCCCTTTAAATTGACCTGAACGGCGCTGTTTGAAACCATGCTTTGAGATGAGGATGGTTTGGGGAGGTCAAAAAGCAGTCAAGTCCCTCTTTGGAAGGGACCAAGGGACTTAGGCCCTTAAATGGATGCGGCCCTGAACAGTGGGAACTGGAAGATCCCCTCAGGCAGGTGGATTGTTTTTGTTTTGCAACCATTGATTTTATTGGACATTCATGTGCACTGGCAGCCAAATCTATCAGGAAACAAATGTTTCAAGGGCAACCCATTTGCATTATCGCGTGGAATTGGACACCAAACCACAATGGCAGCCATTCTGAAACTGGTTATAGTTTCAGAAAACTCGTTGGTGCTTCAGAGGGCCAACTTTTTGTTGGCAGGCGTTTCAGACAACTCGTTGGACCCTCTTTTGGTTGGCATAAGGTGAAGCCCTTCGCAAGCGGGATTCTCGAACACCCCAGTCATGGCAAACCGCAAGTTTCCAAGTTCAGGACGTGCTCAACGTCTTTGGTATGCTCCTGCCTCAGATTGGCAGTTTGGCGGCTTGATGAATGCAATTGGGTGCTAAATGGCCCATATTTGTTCACTTCCCCACGGAACACCAAACAGGGGGTGAGGGGGTGGGTACTTTTTTTCATTTTTCCAGACCCTTATTTAGCACCAAATAAATTTGTTGGGACCCTTCCAAATCTATGTGTCTATGAATTTTAGTAGGAGAAGCCCTCCCCAAAATGATTGGTTGACATGAAACCCCATGCAAATGATGTCCACCAAAGGGCTCCCAATTGAAATTCACACCCGTGTTCGACCAGAAAGTGGGAGCATGGGAAACGATGTATGGGGGCAGGCCTTGGCGCGTCATCTGTTTTCCAGTCAAACGTTCGGATTTTCATTACACCAAGCCATCCGGAAACTACGATTTTGAACTCAATAAGCCAAATGGGGTCTTCATTTCGAAGGGCAGAAGTCCATGATGGCCAGCGCGAGCAAGGCCAATCCCACCTGATTCCAGGTACTATTCTATGAATCAGGAACCTAGGAACATCAAGGCCAACCTAGGAAACCGCTCCAACTGAACAATGCTGGGTATCCCAAGCATTACACCTGAACACGGGGTTGAATCACTTTTGCCGTTTAGTCGCGAAAGGATGGTTGCCTGAGTTCCTTGCGTTTAACCAGAGCGAGCAGTGGAATCACTGGAACTGCTCTCGAGGCTGGACACGGACGCCAGCGGCGAGCTGAACTTTGGGGAGGCCTCGTTTTCGGCGGGAGAAATGGGAACCGCCCGTCCAAATGAAACAAACACAGTGGCACCTAGATCCCTTTTGGCTTGGCCTTCTTTCCTGAGATGCTCAACCCTACAAAGGGTTCTCCTTTTCTACCTTTTTTCAAGCAACCAAGGGAACCACCCTTGAACATCCACATGGAGGATGTTTGGTTTCCTGGTACGATGAACTTCCTGGGATCCATCGGGTTTAGTCAGGGGCCCCCGTGTGGCAGGGAAGATTACGTACAATGTGCCGCCGCGCGCCTTCAAGAGCAGAACGGCTCATTGTTGCTTTTGGTGCAATCCCAAGAGTAGAAAGGAATGTCTTGGCATGCCCCACCCTGAAAGAACCAGCTAGTTTGTAGTAATAGAAAAAAGGGTGAGGGGTGATGAAGACCAGATGAACATCCTCTCTTTGGTTGTGAGAGAGTGTGATAAAAGCACACGGTATACCTTCGTGAAGTAGTATTAATAGAAACAAATAATGATGTCCTCCTATCTATCACTTCCATATTTTTTCTAAATTAAACGTTTGCTAGCTCACCAAGATAGAGCATGGAAATGGAAAGAGGAAAATGTTAATCAAATGATTAAAGCCACAGTAACAGATAACAGAGTTAGAGAAGATCGAATGTCAGTGAGGAAGAAGTAAATAGTAAACAAATGCTGGTCAAATAAACATAAAAGGAAAGAACAATCAGAGAGATATAAAAAGGGTCTGGAGACGTAGCCTGTCCGTGAGACGTCACTTAAGCAATAATAACAGTTAAGCGTCTCTTCATTCATCACTCTATTTGGACAGGCAATATTCTGATGAGAAAACTATTAACTTCCTTCGGTCACTTCTAGCGATGAAGGGAGGCAAAAGGAAACCCCTTAAAAAGAGAAGGTGAGAAATAAACCCCAATCGATACAAATTAGTTAACATTACTCATGAGATTCTAGTAAATACATAGCCTTTCGTAAATAGTGTTCCGTCCTTCTCCAGCAACTTGAACTATTAATATCCTTTTCATTCTCACCTAAAACTCAAGAATATTGCACATATCTAATGATACAATAGGAAGTGAGTGAGAGATTTTGCAAGGAAATTCTAATAGAACAAAAGCAGAAAGAAGATACAACTAAATAAACTCCATGAGTAAAGACCAACAGCCTCTTCAGAGTCAAGCAAACTATCTATGGTTATAATTTGTGTTTATTCTTCATCATGCACTAATATCTTCTCCAATATATTTGTGTAAATGGGATGAAGTGGTCACGGGGTGAATTTAAAGGCAATAATTACAGAATCGTTGTAATCTCATAGCTTACTGCGTTTTATTATCTTATTGCGTTTTCTATCATATCCATCATTGTCCACTCTAGGTTTTTCACTGTGTTGGAGAGGGTTCTTGATGGACAAGAATAATTTGTCTCCCAATAGACCGTTTCATTTATTAACATTCTTTATTACTTTCATGTTCTTGGTTCTGTCATTTGCCTATTGATTTATTTATTTATGTATCTATTATGTTTCTTCATAGGCCTTTTTCGTAATTCTTACTAATCCTGACAGCCGCGAAAGACGGGAGAGCAGAAGGAGTGTTAGCCAGTTCCTCTTCTTCATATTTGTTATTACCCCCCGGGTTTTTTTCCCCCATCCAGATGCCTCCAACGTTTACAATGCGAGAGAGAGAAAGAGAGATTGGGAAGATAGATAAACAAGTAGAAAGGTTGCAAAGTGAACAAGTACATGAGAATGCAACCAGCAGATGAGAGACTATGAACCTATTCTTGGTAATGATTAACTTTCTGTTCCAACCATCGTGATTTTCTTTACATCGCCAATTTTTTCAACCTCACACCCAGAAGCATTTCTATACTTCTCAGATAATATTGTAAATGGAAGACAACAAAGATAGACATTCAAGCAATAAATGGGATGGTAAACCGAAAGGCAATGATCTTAATAACGACATGTCCATCCACAAATGTTTCCTGGATGAAGTGGAAGAGATAGAAAGGGAAGGATACAAGCTCTTGGGACCACAAACCAACCTCTCTTCCTCCGTGACTTGGACAAGGAAGGACGTCAACGATGAGAAGAACCCAGTCCTTACACCATCCTATGATCTAAAACTCTATTATTGTCCTTTCATTTCCAGAAGATTATTAGCAAAAGAGAGAGACCGCTAGCATTTGCTATTAAAAAGGTTTTAAGGATTCTGTAGTCAAATCTTTATGGGTTGAAGATTTTGGTGGGTGACATACATGGGAAAATCAGGATGCGATCGGAGGAAAAGAAAGAATCACGTTACTTCTGTTCACCCTCTCCTATCTTCTCTTCTTCTTCTTCTTCTTCCCAAGCATCACACGGCATAAGATTAACAGCAGCCTGTGCTTGAGGAAGAAGTCAAGAGAGGCTTCTCACTTCCCATTTTCAATCTTCAATTTCATCAAAAGGAAAGAAAGAAGTGATGGAAAGACATGGTAAGTGCCCATCCAATTCGGTATCTTCAATTAGTATTGATGGGCGCTTACCTCCTTGCCAGACGCTTTACTTCTTCATTTCCAAAACATGGCAATGTAAAAGACAAGGCAAGGAAAATGACAAGCGTTGGCTGGGCCGGGAAAGGAAAGGTCATCTTCTTCCATCTGTTTTTTTACAGAAAGAAGCGGGTTGTGGAAAGTGGCTTTCTTTTTCTACAAATAAACCAAAAATAAAGCCAATATCCCCTTCCTTCGTCCCACTTTTAGACTGTTCCATCGTGAGTCTTTCGTAGTGACAGAACTCCAGAACGTAGTGGGGAAGGGAAAGGTAAAGATGGAACGGTTGATCTCCTTCCTATCTTCTCCCCACTAGCGATACAGTTGGAGAAGAAGGAACGGGGGGGCTAGCTTCTCCCTCCTTCCTTCACCCCTCGATTTCTGGCATTCTTCAACGGTTGAAAAGGGAAACAGAAGAAGGGGAAGGATGAAAGGTCCAAAAGATAGTAAAACACAAGCAAAATAATATGAGTAAGACCTACTCATAATCTTTTTTCCTTTCGGTGAGCCCCAGCGACGACCGGACAGCCAAAAGCATTCACAAAGAAAGATAGCGCAATGAATCTCAACAAGGGAAGAATAAAATAGAAAAGAACGAGGAATGTAAGTATGGTTTTAAGATTAGAAGCATGTATTAGCACGCAATAAATTAGATAGCTTCTGTAAGCACCACCCATAATTATCTTTAGCTTTGTCATAACTGTCTCGCGCCCTTTTTATGTTGTTAGCTTGTATAAAACAGGATTTTGAAAAGAAAGGGAGGATATTACGTTTTCTACCGTAATTATTATTGCCTGCAAATGCTTTCGTCACTTCTTGCCCATCCATAAATGCAAATAAAGGATGAGGATGGATGGACAAGAGGAAGCAGGCAATGATTTGGAAGAGGCCCCAAAGACAGGCTGGAAAGGGATAGTGAGGGAATCTCCAATCATCATATCCTCCAAGTCTCACGGACAGGCTATCTGGTGTATTCTGCGTGATGTCTGGGCGGAATATTTTCTTAATCATTCTTTGTTCTTTCACACCTTTCCCTTTCCCTTACCTTCATCGATTGGTCTAACCTGGTATGCGATAAAATCTCTGAGATACAAATGAATCCATCCCACAATCCCAGTCGCCTTTCCATGTCTTTCTATTTTTACGGTTTTCTCCATCTCTTTCTCCATCAGGTATGTGTGGTATGAAAGTTATCCAAAAGAAGCGTGTTGCAGAAGATGTCCTCTCTCCTTTACCTATCTTATGTTTATTTCTTTATCCCTGTCTTTTCCATCCTAGTTTATTGAGTTGATTGTAGGAAGAAATGGTCAGGGGAGAGAGTGAAAGATAAAGAAAGGAGTATGAATTCGAGATCCTAAAGAAAAACAAACACATGGAAATAACAGAAAAGAGAGATTCCAAATGAAAAGATAATATGCTTTCCTCCCCATTTCCTTACCAAACTTCAACCGATTCAAAATGAAACAAACTTGACCCAAAAAAAGCCGTTAAGGGAAGGACGGTGATCAAGTTTTATCAAGTTTACAATGTTCACACCTTTACTTGTAATTTGTGTAATTCTGGACCGACTTTTTACAAACTAGCTTGTGCAATTTGCAACCCCCGAGCAATGTTTGTTCAAATCCAGCTCGTAATTCTAAATCGGATGTTTGCTGACATTGAGAAACGTACTCTGGGGAATTTGCTTTCCGGGGAGATTTGGCTGGAGTTACATTACAAGTTATACACATTTTGCAGATTAGTTTCTGAACTATGCCAAATTCCAACAAATATGGTTAACAATTAAGCATTTCACAAAATGTCGCAAGTACATGTGTAAAAAGTGAAATTTCCAGATTTTACAAATGAATTTGCAAAATTTGTGAAATATAAAAAAACCTGGCCCAAAATTACAAATTTTACAAATTTTACAAATATGGAATTACAAATTACAAATTTTACAAATTTTACAGGAATTAAATTACAAATTTTACAAATTTTACAAATTTTACAAATTAATTTGTAAAATTTGTAAAATATCAAAAAAATCTGGCCCAAAATTACAAATTTTACAAATTTTACAAATTTTACAAATTAATTTGTAAAATTTGTAAAATATCAAAAAAATCTGGCCCAAAATTACAAATTTTACAAATTTTACAAATTCTAGTCTGAGAAATTAGCTTCCAGGGGAATTTGGTAGGAATTAAATTAAATTACAAATTTTACAAATTTTACAAATTAATTTGTAAAATTTGTAAAATATCAAAAAAATCTGGCCCAAAATTACAAATTTTACAAATTTTACAAATTAATTTGTAAAATTTGTAAAATATCAAAAAAATCTGGCCCCAAATTTTACAAATTTTACAAATTACAAATTTTACAAATTTTACAAATTAATTTGTAAAATTTGTAAAATATCAAAAAAATCTGGCCCGAAATTACAAATTTTACAAATTTTACAAATTCGAGTCTGAGAAATTAGCTTCCAGGGGAATTTGGTAGGAATTAAATTACAAATTTTACAAATTTTTCAATTTTTACAAATTAATTTGTAAAATTTGTAAAATTTGTATAATTTGTAATTTAATTCCTACCAAATTCCCCTGGAAGCTAATTTCTCAGACTCGAATTTGTAAAATTTGTAAAATTTGTAATTTCGGGCCAGATTTTTTTGATATTTTACAAATTTTACAAATTAATTTGTAAGATTTGTAAAATTTGTAATTTTGGGCCATATTTTTTTGATATTTTGCAAATTTTACAAATTAATTTGTAAAATTTGTAATTTTGGGCCGGAATTTTTTGATATTTTACAAATTTTACAAATTAATTTGTAAAATTTGTAAAATCTGTAAAATTTGTAAAATTTGTAATTGAATTCCTACCAAATTCCCCTGGAAGCTAATTTCTCAGAGTCGAATTTGTAAAATTTGTAAAATTTCAACAACATCTGGCCCAAAATTACAAATTTTACAAATTTTACAAATTCGAGTCTGAGAAATTAGCTTCCAGGGGAATTTGGTAGGAATTAAATTACAAATTTTACAAATTTTACAAATTTTACAAATTAATTTGTAAAATTTGTAAAATTTGTAATTTTGGGCCGGAATTTTTTGATATTTTACAAATTTTACAAATTAATTTGTAAAAATTGTAAAATTTGTAAAATTGTAAAATTTGTAATTTAATTCCTACCAAATTCCCCTGGAAGCTAATTTCTCAGACTCGAATTTGTAAAATTTGTAAATTTTGCAATTTTGGGCCAGATTTTTTTGATATTTTACATTTTTTTACAAATTAATTTGTATAATTTGTAATTTTGGGCCGGATTTTTTTGATATTTTACAAATTTTGCAAATTAATTTGTAAAATTTGTAAAATTTGTAATTTGATTCCTACCAATAATTCCCTTGGAAGCTAATTTCTCAGACTCGAATTTGTAAAATTTGTAAAATTTGTAATTTCGGGCCAGATTTTTGGATATTTTACAAATTTTACAAATAAATTTGTAAAATTTGTAAAATTTGTAATTTAATTCCTACCAAATTCCCCTGGGCTAATTTCTCAGACTCGAATTTGTAAAATTTGTAAAACTTTAGAGCCTCCGGCTCAGTCCGCCGACATTGTCCTCTCCCTTTTCTCCTTCTTCCTCTCTCCCTTGTCTCCCTGGTGTGTTCTGTCGTCCTCTCTCCCTCCCTCCGCTCCCCATCCTCCCCATCCCCCCAAGCCACTCTCTCCCCAATCTCCCTCTCTCGTATGTATGTATGTATGTATGCATGCATATATGTATGTGTGTAATGTATGTAATGTAATGTATGTAATGTATGTAATGTATGTAATGTATGTATGTATGTATGTATGTATGTATGTATGTATGTATGTAATGTAATGTAATGTATGTATGTATGTATGTATGTATGTAATGTAATGTATGTATGTATGTATGTAATGTATGTATGTATGTATGTATGTAATGTATGTATGTATGTATGTAATGTATGTAATGTAATGTAATGTAATGTAATGTAATGTAATGTAATGTAATGTAATGTAATGTAATGTAATGTAATGTAATGTAATGTAATGTAATGTAATGTAATGTAATGTAATGTATGTATGTATGTAATGTAATGTAATGTAATGTGTAATGTAATGTAATGTAATGTAATGTAATGTAATGTAATGTAATGTAATGTAATGTAATGTAATGTATGTATGTATGTATGTATGTATGTATGTATGTATGTATGTATGTATGTATGTATGGTAATGTAATGTAATGTAATGTAATGTAATGTAATGTAATGTAATGTAATGTAATGTAATGTAATGTAATGTAATGTAATGTAATGTAATGTAATGTAATGTAATGTAATGTAATGTATGTATGTATGTAATGTGATGTAATTTAAAGTAATGTAAGGTGATGTTGTGTAATGTAATGTATGTATGTATGTCTGTATGTCTGTCTGTATGTATGTCTGTATGTATGTATGTATGTATCCTTGCACTTCCCCTTTGCTCCCCAGTATTTCCCGCAAAAAACACTGTTTTTTCCAGCGTTTTCGCAAAGATGATGTCCAAAAACACAGAGTTTTTCCAGATTTTCGGCAAAAGGATGCAGGAAGCCCAAGCCAGCAAAAAAGCCGGCAGGGGGAATCGAGCCTGGGACCCTGTTTTGCGACACCGGGTCCCCGAAGACTACGTTTAGTGGAACGTCATCAAATTGCCGCGCGGTCCTTGGGGGGGGGGGGCCCCCCCACCCCCCCCCCCCCCCCCCCCCACGTATCAGACGTCGGGTGGGGGGGGGGTTAGGGGGGGGGTTATCCTCTATCCTCTCTTAGGTGTCCGACACGCCGAGCAATGTCGGCGGATTTGTAATTTCGGGCCAGATGTTTTTTGAAATTTTACAAATTTTACAAATTAATTTGTAAAATTTGTAAAATTTGTAATTTTGGGCCGGATTTTTTTTGATATTTTACAAATTTTACAAATTAATTTGTAAAATTTGTAAAATTTGTAATTTAATTCCTACCAAATTTCCCTGGAAGCTAATTTCTCAGACTCGAATTTGTAAAATTTGTAATTTCGGGCCATATTTTTTTGATATTTTACAAATTTTACAAATTAATTTGTAAAATTTGTAAAATTTGTAAAATTTGTAAAATTTGTAATTTAATTCCTACCAAATTCCCCTGGAGGCTAATTTCTCAGACTCGAATTTGTAAAATTTGTAAAATTTGTAATTTCGGGCCAGATTTTTTTGATATTTTACAAATTTTACAAATTAATTTGTAAAATTTGTAATTTTGGGCCGGATTGTTTTTGATATTTTACAATTTGTAATTTTGGGCCGGATTTTTTTGATATTTTACAAATTTTACAAATTCATTTGTAAAATGTTTAAAATTTGTAAAATTTGTAAAATTTGTAATTTAATTCCTACCAAATTCCCCTGGAGGCTAATTTCTCAGACTCGAATTTGTACAATTTGTAAAATTTGTAATTTTGGGCCAGTTTTTTTTGATATTTTACAAATTTTACAAATTAATTTGTAAAATTTGTAAACTTTGTAATTTTGGGCCAGATTTTTTTGATATTTTACAAATTTTACAAATTAATTTGTAAAATTTGTAAAATTTGTAATTTAATTCCTACCAAATTCCCCTGGAGGCTAATTTCTCAGACTCGAATTTGTAAAATTTGTAAAATTTGTAATTTCGGGCCATATTTTTTTGATATTTTACAAATTTTACAAATTAATTTGTATAATTTGTAATTTTGGGCCGGATTGTTTTTGATATTTTACAAATTTTACAAATTAATTTGTAAAATTTGTAAAATTTGTAATTTAATTCCTACCAAATTCCCCTGGAAGCTAATTTCTCAGACTCGAATTTGTAAAATTTTTAATTTTGGAAAATATGTTCTTTACTTAACAAATTCTACAAATTAATTTGTAATATTCGCAATTTCATTCCTACCAAATTCCACTGGAAGCCAATTTCTCAGACTAAGGTTTGCAATTTTCATGCAATCAATTCCTACAAGATCTGCCTGAAAGCCAGCCCTCAGTGTGATGTTGATGCCCAGACCTCTCCCCGGCACATTATACATACTCTTCCCTCTTACGGCCGTTGAGAGCCCTTTACTCAGGACTCCTTCCGATCAGAAGTTCCTTCCAAATCTTTTCTCACGGCTTCAAAAACCCAACCCCGCATCCCGCCACACCCGCCTCTTTGGACTGCGTCACGGCTTCTCGTCTTTTCCACGTCACTCAGGCACACTTCAAAAAATCGTAGAGCTCTCTGCAATGATTTTGGGCCGGGTGAATGTTTCAAGCTTGGCAGCCGGCTCTGTGTTCGACTGACTGGGCTCCTTTCTCTTTCTCCCAAGCTTTTGCTCCAAGGATCCTATGAGCTTTGCTGCAAACGGACTACAGGAGTCACGCCTGTGCGCGCTTTGGCCACAAAGCTCGCAGCCTTGCGCATGCTGACCATAGTTCTAGGGGCAGCTTCCCCATTCTGTACAATCCTTCTTTTCAGGAAGCCATCAAAAACAAGAGGGGAAACAGTTGGTTTTGTGAACGATGGTTGAAAAGAATGGGGAATCAACCCCTAGAATAGTTTTCGAGGCATTCGTGATCTCAAAACTGATGACATCGCAGAATATTCATTTTTTTCAGGGTCGCGCATCAGCGTGGCGCGAACTATTGAAGGTTCCCCCTACGTACCCCAGATGTGGGCCAAGTATATATCGTGCTTTTTTCCTTGTTGTACCACCAACATGCCACAAGGAAATGGGGAATGCCCGTCGACGCCATGAATCTGCCTCCGTGTCCTGCCAGGTGGTGCACGGCCTCGGCGCCCTGTTGAAGGCGCTTCAGAGCGACTGCAAAACTGCAGCCGTTTCAGAATGGACGTGGCTGGGGTCTCCAAGCCAATACGATGTGCGTTATATGTTGGGGTAGACAAAGCATGAAGCAGAACATTTTTGGGTAAAATATATGCGAAACACGTGTAGAAATACAGATGGTTTCTAGTGCAATTACTTGTTTTGGCTGGTAAGGGTCATTGTGACTCCCAGTACGAACGAGCTTGCCCACAATTGGCCCTGGCCATGCAGAGAGGGACGTTCTCAGCATTGAATTTCAGGGGGGTATGTGGTTGCCTTCAAGGGGACCGCCTTCCGGTTCATTCCAAATCCCCTCTTGGTTCTGAGCTGATAATTCTTCAGTTCCTGGATAGGGGATCAAACAGGCTTGCTGAACTGAGCCCGTGATGTGTGTCTTCTCCCTTTCGGAGAGTGGATAGTGGCTTTGACCAAAGGGAAGCCCCCGAGTACTACATCGCCTAGGGTGCCTTGCATGAATTTCAAGGAACCTCCAAAGTGGCTGGACATGAATCCCCGCAACGTCCAAGGGTCCCTCAAAACAATTCCTTTCACACGGGCCAATTTTACGGGAGTTTCATTTTGGTTGATGGTGACCGGTCTTACTGCGCCTCTAGTGCCTGGAGATTGAACCTCCCCCATCCTCTTGTTTTTGACTTTTTGTGTTGTGCCTTTCAGAAGAAACCATTTGAAGAGCTTCCGTGTTTTTCAAGCTTGGTTCGAGTGAAGTTCCCTGAACCAACTACAAAAGGGTGCCTTATTCTATGGAAATCCCCTGAAGGTTTGGGCCGAGGGATGCGGGGCGAACTTCTTTTGCAGTTGGAAGATACCGAATCGGAGGCCTGCGAGCTTTCAAAGTCCCCCCCCCCGGCAGCGAAAACAACATCGAAACAGCAAGAGGCTGAGTTTTCAAGAGGCACTGTGTGCTTTTCCAACCCCGAGCCTATTGTTTGACCACCATGTTTTAGCTTTTGCCAAATCAACAGGGCCCCCAGTTTTGAACCAGAAGGTCCCCCGTAAAGCCGAAACTTGTTTTAGGGTATTGCTGTACCATATTAACTCCTGACAAGCACATTGTCGCACAAGAACCGAGCTGTTAAATGTATTCCACGAACCAAACATGTTCGTATTTGGAGTTGCGGTCCCCAGTTTTGAACCAGAAGCTCTTGTTTCAGTGTGCAATCTGCTATTAGGCTCCTGTTCGGCGCTGTTTCCGATCCTCTCATTGTCAGACTAAACCCTGTCTAAGCATTATCCCTTTGCCGTTTCGTTCCTTTTTGGTGTTCCATCATTTGTCCTTTTCTGTTTGAACCAGAAGGTTAAATTGGGGGGCTAAGTCTGGCTCTTCGGGTTCTGGCAAGAAAGACTTGACCGTGTGCCCGGCCTCGCGTTGCCGAGAGGTGGAGCAAACCGAGCCCCGCATCCGCGCCTTCTTGCGGAAGGCGCGGGTTCGGGTCCTGTCTCCAAAACAGGGGTTGCTGTGTCTTGAAATGGGAGAACCTAAAAAGGGTATCTACAGCCCCCATAAATAGGTGTACCTTTGTGGACTGTCTCCATTGTTGGTTTCCATGTCACAAACAATCTAAACAGGGTACCCTTGAAAATTCTCAGCAAGCAATCCAACAAGGGTACGCTTAGAACACCACATGTAAACGTGGGCAGAAGCCACTGGTTCTCTAGATGTCCCCTTCAACCATGACTCCACCTGGAGGAAGCTCGCGCTACGCGACTACTTTGCCAGAGAATTTGCGGAACGGGCCGAAGAAGTGCAGATTGTGCGCAGCTCCGGATTGATATCGGGCACTACTTGCACGAGCTCTTCCCAGTGATCCCCCCCAACACTCTTGAATAGTACAACCCAGGTCCAAGCCAAACCGGAATCTCCATCTCGCTGTGGCTCCCAGAATTTTGGATCCGTTTTGGGTGTCTGAAAGTGCCCCATTGGTTGCTCTTTGGTGGAACTTTGAGCTTTCTGAGATAATTATTGTTTGCCCAATCACCAGCAGAGTGATTCAGGGGGTCGGCCCCTGACAAAAGTAATTAAGAGGCACTTACCTTGGATAGCCATATTTTTCACATTCTACCTAAATGAAAGGGAGGGCCTGACCAACCCAGGTGTGAGACACTCATTCAATTTGATTAGGCCCCTTATATTAACGTGGCTTCATCATGAGTGGTTCTCAATGTTTCTTTTGGGTCCCATTGGTTTCCCTTTGAACCACCAATCAGAGTTTTTGTTTACATGATTTCTTGATTAGGCAGACTTAAACCAGTTGTGGTTCATTCTCCCAAGAAAAAATGAGAAAGTCCCTCCGCGCTTGTTCTCAGGGTTGGGCATAACCCTGCCATGTACAACCCATTCGACCGGTTGGATTGGACACCCAGGAGCTGGGCAACGAAGATGGCAGGGGCCATGTGGGCACCTGAGCTCGGCACAGTGCGCACCGAGTCAAGTTCAGTTCCAGACTTCTTGCTTCGAACCGAGATTCCCCTCAAACTCATGGTGAATTTTCATCTTCTCGCTTCAGTTGGTGGCATTGTCTTTTTGCCGGTGTTTGTTTGTTCAACCGATTTTGGCGAATTCTCTGGGAATGGGCAAGATGAGTGACTCTCTATGTCAAGGAGAGTACGGGCGTGGACATTGATTTGCTCAGGGTGACGTTCCTTGACTTTAAGCAAACATGTATTGTCAAACCTGGCAATGGGGGAGGGGGGGTGGTTGGCGGGCCGCTTTTGGTTGACTTCGAAGGGAAGCCACGAGGCCACCGCACAAAACCACGTTTCACACGCTCCTTTTCAAGATAACCCCTGGAAATATAGTATTTCCCAATTGCACAAGCGACTGGAAGAGGAGCAATCAAGAACCTGGACGTGTCAACAGCCCGAAGGTAGGGGAACTGAACACTCTCCGATTGGAGCAGGGCTCCTCAATAGATGCAACTTGACCCTTCAAGCATGATCTTTTTCACCAGACCACTAGGAAAACGTCATTTTGGGGGTAATGCTCAGTTGGCAGGAGCATAGGTGTTCTTTTTGAGGTCAGGGCTCCAAACAGGGTTTAGCCAAGGAAGGAGAATGGGGGCTCTTGGCCTAATCCCAGAGAGTTTAGCCTTTGAAAACACATGTGGTGATCATCCACTGCATACGATATAGGAAACCATTGTGAGGCTTGGAGGGTTGATGACAACCACGGCAATGCCCTACCGAAGCGGGTATAAGTCTATCGAACATATATTTTCTATACGTTAGCCCTTATCTTGAGTCTTGCAAGGTGTCATTCGCTATAAGCGGACATAGATGGAACTCTTATATGAATGTTCGCAAATGAGGATGACAAAGCCTCTGTGGAACGGCGGTGACCTACTTTCACCAAGCCGTACCTGGTGGGGTTATAGGGTCCTTAGCCTTCGTGACCATGTTGGAACCACAAGTCAAGGAGTGAAGCCGGTACCCGCTGATTCAAGCTGCAAAAGCCGAGTTCACGGGTGTGATGCTGGCGGAGTTCCTGGAAAAGAGCACCACTCACCGAAAGCTGATGAGGGCAAGGGAGCCCAAGCGATCGGAGTGGCTGGCGCTCAACGGGGTTCAAAGATTACAACCCACCACCTGCTTCACAAGGATTCTCAGTTGCACTCTTTTCCAGTTACTGTTGCGTTTCCCACCAAGTGCTCGAATTGTTCAATTGGTTTTCTCTCTAACGTGTCAGAGGGCAAGAGAACCAGCTCGGCTGCATTTGTTTTTTTTGGGCTATGAACCATTACATGTTTTCTTGGGCATCCCCAGGTTCATTCCCAAACCTCTTGTCATTCCTAATGCCGACTTCGGATGAATCCGGAGAGCACTAGTCAGAGGATCCTCCAAAAACCCAAAAGGGGGTTACCCACCTTGTACAGTTTTCTTCGTGGAATACACAGCTTGCATGACTAGCAAAACCCTTGGTTCATGCCGCCTAGAGCTTAGCCAAGTGATTGGTAGCCCCAACTGAATCTCGGTTAACCCCCCTGTAAATAGTATCTAGGTTGCTAATCATTTGTGTAGGTGTCAAAGTAGGGGGATTTCTTTGATGGTGTTATTTCTTTTGGTCTCCCTTTAATCGCCACCCCAAAAGGGGGGCACCCTCAAACCCGACCCATGCGGCGCATCAGCTTCAGCAAGGTGGGCATCAACGTGCAGGAGCTGACAAAGCTGGTGCTTCAAATTCTCGAGGCAGATGCCGGGGGCGACCGCGAATATGGCCCTCGAAAAAGGCCGAAGCTGGGCTGGTTCGTTTTGGTTGGCCCTTTAAACCACACTCCACAAGGGGTCCCTCAAAGCATCACAAGCCCAACTGTCATCTTTATGTAGTAGAGGGTATGACATGGGGTGCACGGTGTCTTATCAAGTTCTCGTGCAGATTCAGGACACGATGAATACTGACCGTGGCTCGAATGAGATTTATGCCAAACCCGCCTTTGGAAGGGTAGTCACCCAAACCGAATGAGCGGGCCTGTTTATCCATCCCTTGTATTGGATGCTCCTTCCCAGGAGTTTGAACAGGAATAGAAGGGGATTGCTAGCCATGCGTGAATTGCACGCTTACTTGTGCCAATGTCTTTCGAGCAACTCTGTGTGTGCTGCTCAGTGTCCCGAATATGATATATGTTGCATGTTGCGATGGCCGCAACCAGTTCCGTCATAGCGTAAGGCCAGTAGCGAGTACAAGCTGACAGGGGTGCATTACCCTCTTCAGGGTGGCTGTCTCCAAGCTATGGACCACTTGGCGCGCTGGTCCGTGGACTTGGGAGTGGCGACCTCGCTGTACCAAGAAGTTTGTGAAAGAGGGATCCGCGTGGCTTTGGATGCCTCAGAGATCCGGTGAAGGTGGGGAGGCTGAAGAAGCGTCCAGCTGCCGCTATGATTCCAGCGCCCACAAGAAAGCGTGGCTGCTGAAATATCTTCAAGTATTGTCGGCCTCGTTGCCGGACTTAAACCCTCCACAGGCAAACCCCTTGCAGGAATTCATTGTAGGGTTGCGTGCCTCTGCCATTTTTTGGGTAGGTTGTCTACGCGTCAGGGAAAACCAAGTTTTGCAAAGTAGACCTGTAAACAAGCGGGCATTTGGAGTCGGAGCATTGGTTTCCAATATGTGTTCAACAATTGAACACTCAAGGTCAATGTCTGCCATGGTTCGTCGACCAACTTGGTTCGGAAACTCTGAGGACACGTCTGGTTCCGTTCCAGATAATTTGTCTACGCTTTCATCCGGAAACCCTTTTACTGCCTCGAGCTTCCGCAACCCAACAATGGGCTCAGTTTCTTTTTGCACATTGCGGAGGTGGTTTATTGACTAAAGGTCACCTTTGGGATCATTATTGTACTTCCTGCCAAACCTGAGTAATTGAGAGTAGAAGAAGGAACTCTCTTCCTCATGGGTTTCATGTTCCATGTTAATTTTGGGCCTTAGGTATTTTTTGGGGAGGCCCTATCCCAGAACCATCAGAATCCCTTAGAGCCCGTCTTGGGGGGGGGCCATACCATGGACACGGGACGATTTTGCAAGCCCCCAAAGAACCCTCCCACCAATCAGCACGGAATCTGATGTTTGGGGGGTCCTGCTTTGGACCATTTTGCGTTTTTCAGGGCCCCCGAACGTCAGGTTCCATGTTAGTCGGTGCAGGTGTCGCAGGCCACGCGCCACTTCGACCGCATCAAACCGGCGCTCGAAGTGATGCCCGGGCCTCGGCCGGGGTAAAACAAGGTCAGGCTGAAGGCACCGCACCGGGCGTGTTCCTGATGTCCGGCTTGCGAGTTGTTGCAATTGAGTTGTTGTAGTTGGCCCTGGCCGAACTTTGAGGGGATTCGTAGAGTTGCAGCGTTTAATTACAAAATCAAGCTTTTAGGGGACATTTGAAACGTTGGCCGTAGGTGCGTTTTTGTTGGAACTTGTGCTTTACGTTCTCAGGGTTGTGAAATGTGAAACCCCTCCCAGGATGGGACCTGAAGTTTCTGGTAGATTCGTGAAAAAATAAAGCAAACACATAAGGGCCAAGTTAATTAGAAGGGTTATGGGCTGTTTCCAAGCATCATGAAGTGGGTTTGAGGACCCTTGGGTGGCCGTCATTCAGGTGGGGATTTATGCCCACCAACCATTTGGGCGGGTGCTCCCCATTTAAAATGCACTGCGAAGTATCATGAGGTAAAGCAATTGTCTCTTTTATCACGAGCTCACCGGTTCGGGGGCGCACCGTGCACCGCGATGAAGGTGCCAAGTAACGCACTGGGAGAACCTGCTTTCAGGATTGTGTGACCAGATCGGTTTCAGCACTTGCATCTCTAGTGCGGCGTCTTTCGTGGGCGCCCTTTTCCACTTGGTCTAAATATAGATGGGAGTGGGTCAAAAAACGGTACTCAAAATGGAACCCTGTCAAATGGAAACATGGACTAAAACCTGCGGTCCCCTGCATGTGTTGGGTGCCCCCTATTTTGCCAGTGTTGGGTTTCCCGGCTCAGTGGATTCCACCCGAACCTCTGCTTGCACTCCCAGCAAGTGGTTGCAAAGACCTCTTCCGGAACCTGCAATTTCATGTTTGTTGCTGGGAGAGATGCTCAAAATGCAAAAAGCGAGCAACAGAACAACACATCTCAATGCCTCAGATAAAATGAACCCTCATAATGCTTGGTTTGTGTCCTTTCGGTTGTTTTTTTGGGGGTGTTCTTTGGGAAACCCTGGCCACATGGCGGTTCCGGCTGTGCAGTTGGATCGAGGTTAAGCGAGGCCGCCTCAGCGACAGACCGCAAGGAGGCCGACTAACGCTCGAGGCAGTTGGTTACGCGTAAAGTACGCCAGGGTTTTCTTTACTTATACGAATGTTTAAGCTCCCCCAATTAAAAGTCATACCCACATTCGAACTAGGTGATTTCGCACTGTTTAAAAAAGGACACTCTCACTCCAGCAAAGCAACACTTTGGTGGTTGTTTCCATCTACTTACAGAACATCACTCAGCAAAACAGCACTTTGGTTATGTCAAACTTAGTAAACATAATCCCCCCAAAGACACAGCAGTCTTGGTTATTTCAATTTGTCTATGGAACATGACCGCAACAAAACACCGCTTTGGCTATGTCATTTGTTTTTATATTACCCCCCAAACAACACAACACATTTCGTTATATCAATCTGCTTAAAGAACATTTCCACAACAAAACAGCACTTTGGTTATTTCAATCCGTTTAAACATCCTCACCCCAACAAAGCAGCACTTTTGGTGATTATGTTGCACTGGTTAAAAAACGACACCCCATGAAAACAATTCTTTGTTGGTTTCAAAATTGTTTAACATCATCACCCCAACACAACTCTCCAGTTTTGATTATTTCAATCTTTTGAACACATCATCACCCCACCAAAGCAACACTGTTGGCTATTTCAACCCGTGTAAACATCGTCGACCCAACCTGTTGCTTTCGTTGATTAATTCAATCTTTGAAACTCCTCATGACCCCAACAATACCACACTTTTGGTTATGTTAGACTGGTTGAACATCATCACCTCAACAAAACATTTGCCTGGGTTATTCCACATCATTTAAAGCCCATCACCTCCTGCACAACAACACCAGTTGTTTCAATCTCTCAACTACATCATTTCGCCCAGCAAACAACACTTTTGGCTGGTTAAAGGACAGCCAACTCAGCGAAACCACACTTTGGTGATTTCACACTTTTGGAACAACATCCATCACCGCACCAAAAACAGCACGCTTGTCGTTTCAAGTCTTGACACACCTCATCACCCCACCAAGACAACACTTTTGGTTGTTCACCCCGTTTGAGGAACATCTCCACAACATTCCACAACAAAACAATACTTTTGCTTACGTCGAGGTATTTGAACAACATCACCGGGACAAAATAACACTTTGGTTTCTTCAACGTGTTTAAGCAACATTATCGCAACACAAGTAATGCCTTAGTTCTTTCAAACTGTTCAAGCATCATCAGCCCAACAAAACAACTCCTTGAAGTTGTTTGCGACTGTTTAGAGAACATCACCCAGCAACTCAACACTTTTAGTTATTTCAATCTTGAAACACAATCACCCCAGCTCCGCAACACCTGTGTTTTTTCAAGCTGTCTAAACATCCTCACCCCAACAAGACAGCTTTTTGGTTAGTTCAGTTTGTAAGCATCATTTTAGTTTGGGTAGCCGTTAACTAAGTGTTGTTTTGCGGGAGTTTGTTTGGAAGAAAGCCCAAAGTGCAGCAAGACTTTTCAGAAGTTCATCTTTTTGGAGACAGCTGAGGTTCCACTGGTGTAGTGAGCATAATTCTAGGGCCTGTAACCTTGAAAGGCGAGATCATCCTTTGAGGTCGCCAGATCAGCGAATGGGTCCGAAATAAGCTTAGTGAAGGCTTTCTTACGGATTCCTTAGGTGATTTGTCGTAGTTTGTGCACTTCCCTTGGACCATGTCTGATTTCCAGGATGGCAAGTCGGCTCAAGGTGCTCTTGGAGTGACCGACAACTTTCACTTGCGTACTTTGTACATTGTTAGAGTTGGTACATGGTCAATGTTCACACTTGGGCTAGATACCAACATTGTTTCGTTCACTCCAGGTTCCGACCTTCTGCCCTTGGCTGTTTCCATGATCCGTTTTTCAAGGTTCCAAAAGCTTCCAGTTGGCGTTGATCCACTTTTGGTCCACGTTTTGTCATCTTTCTTCAATTTGTTTGTAATTTGTCGGTCCATTGCGACCATTTCCAAGTTCGTTGGACATTTTGAGTTTCAGTGAGTTCTTCGCGATGGCAAACATGATTGAAGAGGGAGGAACCGTTTTCTCTGACGTTGCGCTCCCGCTGCCGTGCAGGGTTTGAGCCAGCTCGTTACTTGCCCAGCCAGGGACAGACTTGGATGGTAAATTTCCATTGTCAAAACTTACATTGTCATCAGGTCAGTTATTCCTCGTGTTGGTGTGAAATTGCATGTAAGATTGTTTTTACAAGGCACATGGACATGATTGAGCAAGGATGTCTCATTGTTCGGCGGTGGTACTTCAGAATTCTCCTCGCAAATCAGACTTGTCAAATTGCATCTTTTCCTCCGGTTGTTTGTACCGTGAATTGGCACCAAAGGAAGAGCAAATGCGAATCGTCAACTATAGGTTTTCCTCCAGTTGATATCAAAGGGAAATTGTGGTGACTGGTATTTTCCTGTGCATTGGTCATGGCGCTCTTAATCGAGTATTCAGACAACAGTTGCGAGGCTTCCTTTTCAGAGAACCATGATGGCCCACAGATCTCTTGAGGGCTCTCTACAATTTCCCTGCACAGTGTCAACCCCACCTTTCGAACCCAGGGAAATGAAGGAAAACCCTCGGGCGAGCCGGGCACAAGGCGGGAGCTCGGGCGAGGCCAAGCGGGAGTTCACCGCCGTGCTCACCAACATGCGCAAGGAGTCGCAACTCTACAGCCTGGAGCCCCGGTTGGGGGCGGTGGGTTTGGATGGGCGAAGTTTGCAACTTTTCGAACCAGCGAATTCTTCTGCGTTTTTGGTTTTTCATGGGAAAGTGGATTGCCCAAGCAAAATTAGAATCTCTGAAAAACGACAGAGATGTGGGTTCCAATGTTGATTTGCCGAAGTGTATATTCTTTTGGTTTCGGTGTCCGCGCCTTTCCCACCGTACACACATTTTCGACAGGCAGTATAGGGGGACTGATTACAGCAGGGTTCCGCACAAAACATTGAAGCGACCCTGCAAATCAGCAGGGAGCCGTTCCCAACCATACATGGACCTGGAGTCGCAAACGTGACTCCCCACCACAGGTTTCGGGCGTATCCATTGACACCAATTTCGCATGGCTGGCGTTTGGTGTGCTTTTGAACCTTGGAAAAGTCTGATTTGGACTTGGGTTGTATCTCACACCACCAAGAAGCACCCCTTTTGGGACGACCGTTCTCCACTTCACCAGGTGGGTTTCCGACCTTGCTCATGAAGAAGGTTCCCTTCTGTTCGGAGTCATTGTATCAGGGGTGCCTTTTATCGGTGCTCGTTGCCCTTTTCGGGGGGTTTCAAGCATGCCATCTGGGGAAACGGAGTAAAGGGTATCCAGGGCGTTGGTCGGGGGGCAAGCCTTTGGACAGATTCGGCTTAGAAAATACCATATGACTCATTCTTTATGGAGGCGGAACCAGACAGTCCCAACCTGTCATGGGCAAAATGCACAGATCGGGGGTAGTACAAGTAAATGAAGGCTTGAGGCTCCCCAGCCTTGCAGGCACCAGAGTCTTTTCCCAGATAGCTGAAAGCTATAGGGGTTCTAACTTCCAATAAAGAGGGGAAAGTGATTTGCGCGATTGACGGGCTGGTGCTGGGGGGCGTGCAGATTGGTCTAGGTGCTCTGGTGCTATTTGGGGGTGCTGTTCGGGGTGACGCATTTTTGCGAGATTGACGGCAGGGCGCAAGGGGCCATGCAGTTTGGGGTGCTGGTGCGTTGCTGTTTGGGGATGCTATGTGGGGTGCTGTTGGGGGTGCTGGTGGCGTGTTTGTCGCTATTTGGGATCTATGCTTGTGTTTTTTTTTTTGGGCAGAGGGCTGAGGCCTCTCCATTTAACGGTGCGGAGGTCTGGAGACCTCATGAGAGGTGTTCTTATTTGCCGAGATCCAGTGGATGCTCTCCATTCGTTGATTACCCCATCCCGAGAAGTGAAACCCAAGGGATTCCGCTGGGTTTATGGTAGGTGCCAACGACTTCACCGAGAAGTTGCTGCGCCGGGCTCCCCCGGCTGGATCGATACATCGACCGGGTCGTCACGAGGATTTGCGTGGGCCGACCTTTTTTGACAGGTCAAAGTTTCCGTTTGAACCACGACATAGGGGCAGTTTGCGACAGCAAGTTGTTCGATCGCGAGCAGGGTTCCTTTCATACGGAGCCATTGTGTTGGCCCATCCAAGTGCCTGAATGGTTCCAGCTCCAGCAATATGGCGGTTTCAGGCCCTCATTCCTTAGATATCTGTACTGTTTTTGACCAGTTGATGGTTCTTTGTTTCTGTATGTCTTGTTTTAAGGTCTGGTACCCTTGTTGCGGTTTATCCTATGTTGAGACAATTCCAGTTGTTTTGTTCACTTTGAACACGTTTAACCAGTGGGGCAGCAAAACGAAAAGGTGTCTTAATGTCAGGAGTTTGAAGCTGGCTTCAAAAGGAACCAACTACAAAGAGATCTTTTGATACCTTTGAACGGGTGTTGGCTGGCAAATTAGGCCTAAGTTTTTGTCGGCAAACCCTGAGCCCAATCAGAGCTGTGGATGATGGAAGGCACAACAGGTTGTGGCGTTCCTTGCTAGCAAAGCCGGCGAATGTATCAACAGGACAGAATGTGGTTCCAAGACACATGCGTGGCATGCCGCGCAGGCGCCGTTCTGTTTGCGTGTTTCTCCTAATGCGCGGCAATTCGCCAGTCTCCTGGTTGGCAAGCCAGCTAGCCAGCTACAGCTGTTGGTCAGTTTGCCAGCCAACTAGCCCGTAGATAGCTGAATAAGCTGGTAGGCGGTTGGCTCAGTTAGCCACTTAGCTATTTGGAATTGTCTAGTCAGTGAGGTATTCAGTTGGCTGGTTAGGTGATTGCTAGTTCAAGAATATTCTAGTTAGCTAGCAAACCAGTTAAGTCAACTAGCAGGTAGGACAATGAAACTGTGAACTGCTTGAGCAATTAGCCAGTTCGAGAGCAGGCTAGTCAGCGTGTTAGCTAAATAGAAGAGTTAGCTAGCAGTAAGATAGTTAGTTTTGCTAAATAACTAGTTAGTTAATTAGTTCGCTTGCCAACTGGTTGATTAACTAGACTGCTAGCTAGCTTGCGAAGTAGTTGATTGGACCAACACGATCTGACCCCCAACCACTGTATAGTCACCCTTTTTGGGGGTATGGGATTTCGTGGTATGTAACTTAGCCCTTAGATGGGTTAGCTGGTTGATTATCCAGACTTTGCTACTGTACTTAGTTAGCTGGTTAGCTAGTTGATTTACTGGCTGGATGACTGGTCAACTAGTTGGATGAAGGTCGACCACTGCAGAGGGTTCCACGAGCGAAGTGGACAAATACCAAACAACAACCAGCTGTGCCAATGGGCCCATCAGCATGGTCCGAGAATGCTCCGAACCCGATCCGCACCCGCTCAACACATTCCCCAGTTCTTGAGATCGCATCACTTGTTCACTCTCGTCACGCACAATGCCAGCATACAACAGAAGTTTCTTGCAAGACGCCTTTCATCAAAATTCTACTTTGGGAACTCATCATGCAAACGCCCCCCTGATTGGATCCGAGGCGGGTTACAGCGTCATCCTTTTGGGGGCTTGTTTGTGGGATCTCCCTTCTTGATATCCGTTGGTCACTTTCAGCCCAATTTGCCAATGGGTATGTTTTATTTTTTTAATCAACGACCACAAAAGTGGATGGACACATATAAATTTCCCGCCTAAATGCTGTCCATCAGTGGGCCCTACTTAATCCTTAGTGACCACACAAAGGCCAGGGACTTGTTTGGCCCATCACTCGATGGGTTCGTTAAAGCAATCTTTCGTGAGCAAAGGCCTTCGGCATCCCAAGCCCATCTTGCGGTGGAAGATTGTGATCAAGCAGATCTTTGAGCAGGCGGGTGTTGCGGGCTCCCGGGATCTCCATGCTTCTGCCTCGCCCTGAAGTCGCGCTGTAAGGTTTGACCCCACTTATTTCACGTTAGAAACCTCAGCAATTTCAATATCATTGCAACTTGTTTTTTCCAGAGGCTGGGTGACTCCTGTTTTTGCAAGGGGAGATTGCCAGGGTCTCCACACAAACAGGGTAATTAGAAGGCCTGTCTCTAATTCACAGGTATGCATCAAGCATTACAATGATGCTAGGACGCCGACTCTGTTGATGGTTGTCCTGCATCATCTAGGAGGGATGAAGCCCCAGACATGCTAGGGTGATTCACCTACCAACTGGTGCAGGATGTCCATCAGCAGTTTGCTGGAATTTACACAGAGTTGTAACATATTATTTCCTGGGAACCTCGGAATTGAATTCCTTTCTGGTAACCCGGTGGTGTGGATTTTACATCCAATTTCAGTTGGGAATTATTTTCTCTTTACCGTTTGGAAGAGAAATAATCAAAGTAGGAATCCCTTCACCCCACCACTCCCTACCCCTTACCCTTAAACCAGACTACAGGCAATTGGGAGACCTATACGCCCCACACGCCAAAACACCCGGCCGAGCCTTTCCTCGGCCCACGTGCAAGGCGGACACGGATCAGTGCGGGTCCTTGACCAAAGAGGAGCGCTATGCCTTCGCCTATGGTACCCCCATGCGGCCCATGCAGAATCAGGTGGGACACTTTGACAGGGGAATCCCTCAGCACGGGCCCTTTTGCCCCTTTGATGAGTTGCGTTGCACCCCCCGCCCTGTTTGCAATCCCAACTCGGGCGAAAGGCGAAAGCCTCTTGGAGAGCGTGGCCCCACGAGCACATCCGGAAAACTCATAGTGTCAAAGAATATAGCCCTAAGGCCGAGCGAAGACCGTGTCAGACAACAGGCCCGCGAGTCAGACAACACGAGTCAGACAACGCCAACGCGCGAGTCGGACAACGCCTACGCGCGAGTCAGACAACACTCGCGCGTGGTTGCGGAAGCGCGTTCAGGAACTGCCCCCAATGGGCCGTCGTTGTCTGACACAGCGCTTCCCGTCCGACACGTGGCCTCCACGGCCGACTCGGACCGTCAGGTTCTGACTCGGAGACCTTATTTTGCTAAGTTAGCTCCGCGTCCGCGCTTCTTCTGGCGTGCCCGCCGTCCCATACGCGGCCGACTCGGGCCGTCGTTGTCTGACACGGCGCTTTCCGTCTGACACGTGGCCTCCGCGGCCGACTCGGGCCGTCGGGTTCTGACTCGGAGACCTTACTTCTCCGTGTCCCCGTTTCTCTGGCAACTGCGGGCGCGCGCGGATGCCTTGCAGGCTTTGCGTTGCGCGCCTCCGCGCGGTTCGTCCCCCAGCTTGTCTCCCAGTTTCCTAGCGCATGCGTATGAATTGCAACGCCGCGCTTAGAGCTGCAGGATGCCCTGCGGCGCCACAGCGCAGGATGCCTTGCCTTCAAGAACAGGATTCTTGGTCTTGAAGTGCAAGATGCCCTGCCTAAGTGCAGGATGCCCTGCGGTCCAACGCAGGATGCCCGGCCAGCTTGGCGCTGCGTGAAAAGCAGCAAAAGAAGCTGCAGCGGTCGCTGGCTCGCCAGCAGCAGCCCGCAAGGTGGGGTCGATGCTTTTTTTGTGCCAGGGCATTGCAGCCCGTGCTGAGTCTTCAGGGTCCAATTTTGAAGTGCGGGCGGAAAAAGCCCAAGTGTCCGTACACTCGATCGATGAGTGTGCAACAATGGGGGCGCTTGCCAGCAAGTTGGCAGCGCGCTTGGCCACGCAGTTGGTCCAAGGTCTTCTGGGGGATGCGCCCGAAAAGGGCTGTGACAGTCTAGGGGTTGCTGGCGTCGCACAAAGCAGGGCGATCCGGAGTCATTGCTTCATGCTGACCGTGACCTGCAACTGATTTGTGTTGTGAGTTGCCTTGCTTGCCTTGCAGCGCTCTTGGCCCGAGAAGTGTTTCAGCCACTTGTCAGTCTTGGCTGCCGCACATGTCCGTCCAACTTGACACGCAGCACGTCATGGCTTTGGTGGGTGGGATGCAGGCTGCGCTGGCTGCTCACCGTGGCCGGCATGAGGAGGTCACATACGGCAACTTCACTCCCTTGTGGCATCTGGAGCAGTGCTTGCGCATCCAGTACAGCCTCTGCCGCCACGTTGGAGGGGAGCAGTCCTCTACCAACCTGGACACCGTCACCATTCTCATGACAGTGATCTACAGCCTCCGCCGCTGTGAGCACTGGAAAGTGACATGCTCCTGGCCTGACCTCCAGCCTCCCTGTGAAGGCAATAATCCCGTGTCCTTTCGCACACAACTGCAGCTGACCTGGGGGGCATCCTGGCGAACGCACGCAGAGACCTTGGAGCCGCTGCTTGTGTCCTGCATGAACCACGTGCAAGAGTATGAGCCAGTGTATGGGCGGTCTCGCAGCATGGGCTCCTTGTTCAAGGCTTGGCACGCGTTCTCCGACGACATGCTGCTGATGCTGCGTGGTTTGCTGGGTGAGCCTTGGCCGTCTCACACCGGGTAGCTGCAGCTTGAATGACATGGCCGGTGACGAAAAAGTCAGATTTGCAAGCAGCCGACTCGGGCCGTCGTTGTCTGACACGGCGCTTTCCGTCTGACACGTGGCTTCCGCGGCCGACTCGGGCCGTCGGGTTCTGACTCGGAGACCTTACTTCGCTAAGTCAGCTCCGTGTCCCCGTTTCTCTGGCAACTGCGGGCGCGCGCGGATGCCTTGCAGGCTTTGCGTTGCGCGCCTCCGCGCGGTTCGTCCCCCAGCTTGTCTCCCAGTTTCCTAGCGCATGCGTATGAGTTGCAACGCCGCGCTTGGAGCTGCAGGATGCCCTGCGGCGCCACAGCGCAGGATGCCTTGCCTTCAAGAACAGGATTCTTGGTCTTGAAGTGCAAGATGCCCTGCCTAAGTGCAGGATGCCCTGCGGTCCAACGCAGGATGCCCTGCCTTCAAGGCCAGCATGCTTGGTCTTGGAGTGCGGGATGCCTTGCTTAAATGCACAAGCGCGGTCCAAAACCTGACACGGAAAGAAAAAAACAACGCAAACAGAAGCAGACGGCCTCAAACAAAACCACGCAGAGCCTGCCGATCCAAAACAGCCCAACAGCACGGCGGCGCCGCACAGCAAACCAAACGGCATGAAGCAACTGCGGGCGCGCGCGGATGCCTTGCAGGCTTTGCATTGCACGCCTCCGCGCGGTTCCTCCCCTAGCTTGTCTCCAAGTTTCCTAGTGCGCGCGTATGCATTGCGACGCCGCGCTTAGAGCTGCAGGATGCCCTGCGGCGCCACAGCGCAGGATGCCTTGCCTTCAAGAACAGAACTCTTGGTCTTGAAGTGCAAGATGCCCTGCCTAAGTGCAGGATGCCCTGCAGTCCAACGCAGGATGCCCTGCCTTCAAGGCCAGCATGCTTGGTCTTGGAGTGCGGGATGCTTTGCTTAAATGCACAGGCGCGGTCCAAAACCTGACACGGAAAGAAAAATCCCGCAAGCAGAAAGCAGACGGCCTCAAACAAAACCACGCAGAGCCTGCCGATCCAAAACAGCCCAACAGCACGGCGGCGCCGCACAGCAAACCAAACGGCATGAAGCAACTGCGGGCGCGCGCGGATGCCTTGCAGGCTTTGCGTTGCGCGCCTCCGCGCGGTTCCTCCCCCAGCTTGTCTCCAAGTTTCCTAGTGCGCGCGTATGCATTGCGACGCCGCGCTTAGAGATGCAGGATGCCCTGCGGCGCCACAGCGCAGGATGCCTTGCTTTCAAGAACAGAACTCTTGGTCTTGAAGTGCAAGATGCCCTGCCTAAGTGCAGGATGCCCTGCAGTCCAACGCAGGATGCCCTGCCTTCAAGGCCAGCATGCTTGGTCTTGGAGTGCGGGATGCCCTGCTTAAATGCACAGGCGCGGTCCAAAACCTGACACGGAAAGAAAAATCCCGCAAGCAGAAAGCAGACACCCTCAAACAAAACCACGCAGAGCCTGCCGATCCAAAACAGCCCAACAGCACGGCGGCGCCGCACAGCAAACCAACCGGCATGAAGCAACTGCGGGCGCGCGCGGATGCCTTGCAGGCCTTGCGTTGCGCGCCTCCGCGCGGTTCCTCCCCTGGCTTGTCTCCAAGTTTCCTAGTGCGCGCGTATGCATTGCGACGCCGCGCTTAGAGATGCAGGATGCCCTGCGGCGCCACAGCGCAGGATGCCTTGCCTTCAAGAACAGAACTCTTGGTCTTGAAGTGCAAGATGCCCTGCCTAAGTGCAGGATGCCCTGCGGTTCAACGCAGGATGCCCTGCCTTCAAGGCCAGCATGCTTGGTCTTGGAGTGCGGGATGCTTTGCTTAAATGCACAGGCGCGGTCCAAAACCTGACACGGAAAGAAAAATCCCGCAAGCAGAAAGCAGACGGCCTCAAACAAAACCACGCAGAGCCTGCCGAGCCAAAACAGCCCAACAGCACGGCGGCGCCGCACAGCAA